CGAATCCCCCCCCCCCCCTAAAGTCAATCAACCTCTTCATCCATTATGCGCTTCCCAGCATTCCTCTTCTTGACGGGTTCATTACTAAGAAGCTTCGGCTCGTGCGATACTGAATTTCTCAATCCGCCAGATTGGAGTGACGATGAGCGCAATCGTGACAACCTTGACAAGAACAGGCGCTATGTCGTTGGCGAAACAATACCGCTGGAATGGGAGACGGACCGTAGCAGTGAAGATATTGCTCTGAATTTAGGCCAAAACCTCTATTCATCATTCAGGTTTGCCCCGTTGAACAGTCAGTCAGATCCGCTAAGCAGTGTGTTGAAGACTTATTGCTAATGAATCTCTAGAGGCCGACACGAGCTGGGAAGCCAAGTACTACACGTGGGAGGGAATGAAAAAAGATGAAGACGCCGTATACTACTTCGTATTATTCGACCCTGACACGGAAGATCGTCTTGCCTATTCTCTCTACTTCAACGTCACCGCCCCCCAAAAAGACAGTACAAAAACCATCACCGCCCCTGGAAGCACCGTCACTATTTCCCAAGGTCCATCCATGAAACCCGAAGCAACATTCACAACGATCCACAGCACACCAGAAGTAACAAAGCCAGCGAGCAATCAAGACGAAAGCAACACCAAATCTGGAATGTCTCAAGGGGAAGTGGCAGGCGCAGCGGTCGGTGGTGTCGTCGGTGGCCTTCTCATCTTCGGGGTTATTGGCTGGGTGCTATGGAGGAGGAGGATGGGAAGTAAGACCAAAGCAGCTGCAACCCAATATCAGGAACAGGCCGTTGGGACAAAAGCTGAGTTACCCGGGGACGATAAGGCTCATCCTTCTGAGTACGCAAGAAGTCCGACAGGGATTTACGAGGCACCCTGACGAGAACCGGAAAGCTGTTCACGATGCCCATGACAGCAAGAGAGGCAGCTGGAATATCTTCGACATGACTCTCTTTGTTGAAAAGAAAAAGTACAAGAGTAATAATCCCTAGTTTCCGACCCACATACCCAATTGATCCTTGACCCTTGGGTACGACATCGCGTTCTATACGACAGACCCTTAATCCCCATGTCGCCTGTTGCCGACAGGGTCTGCCCCGAGCTCGTGAGCATCTCTGTCATTCCCATCCATCTCGGGCAAGATCCCCATAGGTCGGGGATAGCCATAGTTCTGATCAATGGCCGGGTTCATGTGAAAGTTGTCGCTTCGAGGAGATGGTATTGTGGGGGAAGGTTTATTGTAGTAATCCGACGACACACCGCTAGGATAGTAAGGGACGACAGTACTTGCTGACTGGAAGTGATCTAGTCCACATGTTAGGGCCCCTTCTACTTGGAGACAGAATGTTAAATGCTTACGATCATTGTGGCCCATAGGCGTCGGCTGAGTTGCGACGGAGACTCTATGTGACTGGTCAGGTGCTACCATGCCATGAGTCTCTCTTTGCCTCCGTCGCCTTCTACAACATAAGAAAGCTAAGGCGGCTATCAGTGTGATGGCCAAAGCAGCAGATCCTACAGCGATGCCTGCTATAGCGCCAGTGCCCAAGCCACCATCACCATCACTCGCCGAAGAGCTTGATACCGCACTGGTTGCTGAGTCTGAAGCCTCACTCGATGTGGTACTTGAAGCTGTATCTGCTGTTGAACTCGAAGCGGCACCCTCGGGGTCTAAGAATGATCTTCGGAGGCCTTCTCTCTTCGTCAAGACAGCGGCCACGAGTTGATCCGTTGGGCAGCCATCGCCGCAAGCATTTGTCTCGCAACAGCCCACGAACGGTGGATCCGGCCCAATACAACTCCACCAGATCTTGGCCTGTCGACTATCATCGCAACTTTGTGGTTTCAAGTCGTCGTATCTGTCGGGATTGAAGCTAAGTGACCGCAGGTCATCTTTAGGACAGATGCCGCTACCACCTTTGCAGGGATCGGATGTGCAACATCCTATGAACTCGTTCGTGGCCCCTTCGCATATATACAATTTTGAAGAAGAATCTGGGCAGTTGAGGCCAAAAAAGTCGACCGTCTTGTTGTGTGAGGTAGCCATTTCGAATTTGAAACAAATGAGGATCCAGGAAGTCTGGGTGCCATCCCTGGGTATTAATATGCCTCAGATGTCGGAAAGTGGCGGCACCAGCTGAACAACCATAATCATGATAAAAGCCTCCCATTCGAGAACCATATGTCATCAGTGCATTGTGTAACACTTGCAGCTCGTATTGTTGAACGCCTGAGACATCCCCGCTTTGCGCCTTATCTCCCTATTCGGCGACAGTTATCGCCGAGCCTGATATACCATATACAAGTAAGATTATTCTGCAAGACTTATCGAATGTAGCTTGGACTTGCACATTGCTTGCCACATGCCACCCATCGCCAAGGAAGCAATTGGCCCCCATTTCCTACGGAGGCCAAGATCCACTACGAGGACAGTGCCACGTCTCTACAACAGGTCTTACTCAGATCACTCAACCTGCTCTTTCGGGTTCCAAGTTTCGATTATTCTCACTTGCTGCAAAAATAGTAAAATACTTTAATTATTTCTAACTCTATACTTAGCTTTGTTAAACAGCCAGGTCAGGACGTATCCGATATAGAGAGTATCATTTCAGGGCTTCAGTTGACTTGTAGTGTAGCGCTATAAGCTGCTTTGCAGTCTATTGATCCGTGCTATTTAAGCCAGTACTCTTTACAACGTTTAGTGCGCTACCCGCCCTCAACCACTCAGGCTGATGTGAAGGAAACGAGTGATTCAGCTGAGCCGTCCACTGCTTTCCATCCGTTGGAGAAAATCGCATAGTAACCTGCTTATCCGGTTCAAGCGCACTACCATCGACACCCAGTAAACCTATAACATCACCTTATTTTATTCTGTCGTAATCTGCTGGATCTTTGAACGTCAGAGGAAACATCCCTTGCTTCTTGAGATTCGTCTCGTGAATTCGAGCAAAGCTTTTGGCTATGACAGCAACACCTCCCAAGAATCTAGGTTCCAGTGCAGCATGCTCTCGTGAGCTTCCTTCGCCGTAGTTATTGTCGCCGATGATGCACCACTCGATGTTTGCATTCTTCATTGATCGAGCTGCCTCGTGAACAAATTTGACTTTGCCATCTGTTGGATCTCTTGCCTTGCCAACCATTTTGAGGAATGTTGCCTCTGGAAGGAAACTGTTCGTGGCTCCTAGAAGCATGTTGTGGCTGATGTTTGTCAGATGGCCTCGGTAGTTGTACCATGGTCCTGCGGGAGAGATGTGATCTGTAGTGCATTTTCCCCCGACCTTGATAAGAACCATCATATTGTCTACTTACCCATTCCTCCGTGGCTCGAAAGGTGTAAGTAGTTGTAGCGTATCGCTTCCCTCGTCGATAATGACTTCGCATTCGAATGTGGGATTGAGAACAGGCGCTTGGTACGAATCACTTCCGGCGACAAAAGTCTCGGGAAACTCGTTGGCTAGCAGGGGAGTGAAGCGGAACTGTGATGGGGTACCAGATTCTTCGAGGAAGAGAACAGCGTCAGTCATCGGGTTGAACGATAGATCTCCGTCATAGACGAAAGCGGTGGCTATTTCGGGTGAAGTGACAAAAGAATGTGTAGCAGGATGTCCATCATGACGACCAGTAAAGTTACGATTGAAGCTGTAAATGACAGAATTGTTCATTTGTTCCCCGCTCCCGCAACATCAACATCAACGTCCTCCTTGTCCCATTGACCGACTCATGGTCCGCAAGAATTACTCAGCACAACAGCCCCGGTTGCCTCTCATTATGACATCTGTAAGTTACAGACCAATGCCTGCAAAGCCCTTCTGCTAACACTCATGTGAAGCCTATGTTTGTCTTATCCGATTTATCTCACAGCATGGAGCCACCCAAGCTGTTTGTGTAATAGCCTGGATCTAGCTTTTCCAAATACCATTGCCGAACCGACTTTACTAATGCAATGTTCGCTTGTAGCATCACACTCCATCGCTCAGTGATCGAGACAACTGATAAAGTAAGGGGCGATTATTTAAGATTCGCTACCTTCCAGATATCCCGTCACTGCAAAGAGATTATCGTGGACCAAACAGGTAATGACTCTGATTGGGAATCATTTCTTGATAGCCCCCCAGAGTCTAAGCCCCGCTTTGCATTGTATTACTGCAATTCCAACGACGGCGTGATTAAGAGGTACGAGTTATATTCCGTTCCTATGTGAATAACAAACTGAAGAATGCAGAGAAATTTCATGTTCTATTGTAGATGCCGAGATGAAAGATGGGCTTTTCGGGCATCTCAGCGGCGTCGGATCAGCAAGAAGTTGTTCAATCAAAGATTTGACATCAAACAATGGAGCAAATCTGTTTCAGGATGCAAGAAGTCCGAGTGTTTGAAGCACTATGAGAATATCATGTTGGTCACCGAATGAAGGAATGATTCGTTTGATAATTCTGACAAGACTATTTACTCCACCAGTGATTCTAGTGAATTGAAATGAAAGCAGTCTGGCTGCCAAGAAGCTTAAATACTAACTCTACCACTTCGGCTTCTGGAAAGCCTGCTCCGCCAACTTGACAACGAAAGCACCTCTCTCAATGGTGTTGATGAAGATATACCCAGACTTGAAGAAAGCATAAGAAGACCAAGTTCCAACAAAAGCCACGGTACCACCACCAGAAAGGTTGTCATCCTCAGGGTAAATGTCAAACCAAGCAGCCTCATAGACACCAGCCCCAGTAGGATCAGAAGGAATTGAACGACCATCAAGAACACGAAGACCAGCGCCATAGTGCGATTGGTAGATGTAGCTGTCCTTGACGTACTGGTTGTGGTCGATGGACTTGGTGGGGTGCTTGAAGTGACCGGTTTGCTTGGGCTTTTCGAGATCGCGGATGTCCCAGATGAAGGTTACGGGGTAGCCGTCGCCACCTGGGCCAGTGCCGTCGCGCTCGTCGAGTTCGTCATCCAAGACGAGGAACTCTTGGTTTTGGGTGTCAAGGACCCAGCCTTGGTGGGTGTATGCAGCACCCTCGTAAGAGATACGCGAGATGATGTTGGTGACGTTGGCCTTGTTGGTAACATCGTAGATGGTGAGAGTATCCTCGTTGTAACCGTAGCAGATATCGCGACCTTGGTAACGCTTGTCTGGTCCACGGTAGACAATGCACTGCGCATCATGGACGTATCCATCACCCTTGGCGCATCCAAGAGACTTCGGCTTGGAAGGATCAGTGAGATCGAAGAAGTTAAGACCAGAAGCACAGATAGGGTCATTTCGTGGCATAGCGCCGACGGCAACGGCGTACTTGAGCTCCTCGTTGACCACAACATTATGCGCACGACCAACAGGCAACAAAGCGTTGAAGTGACTAGTAAGGTCCTTCTTCGCATCAAAGACAACAGGCTTCTTAGGATCAATCTTCAAAAGCTTCTTGAAGTCAAAGATCTGAATACCGTGGCCGACGGCTTCGGATCCGATGATAACGTAGTTCTTGTAGCTGCGGATCTCGCGCCATTGAGAAGGCGAAGAGTATTGAGGAAGACGACCGAGGTAGACGAGTTGACCCTTCTTGGTGATCTCTGCGAAGGCAGTTCCATCGTATTGACCGATGGCGACGAATTCGCGACCGTCGTCGGATGTCCATCCCCATGAGGATGAACCTCTGCCGCCAGTGCTGCCGAGGTCGGCGTGGCTGAGGAAAGAGTAGAGGTCGGCCTGACGCTGTTAGTGATTGAATTGGTTGGTGGGTTGGAGTGACTTACGTTGTGACACTTGAAGGTGTTCAGCGGATCACCCTTGATGGCCTCTGCAACACCCTGGACACACTTGGTGTAGCCGAGCGTGGGGTACTGCTCACTGGCGAAGGCACCAGCAGCTTCTTGCTTCTCCCAAACAGCCTGAGAAAGTTAGTCGATGGACGGGCAGACTGTATGAAGGAGAACAAACCTCCTTGCTGGCCTTGAGCTTGTTGTGCATCACACCGGTGTCATAAAGTCTGGCAGCCTTCTTTTCGTCGACCTTGATCTCCTTGGCCTGGATGTAGGTGCCGAAGGCGGCGATGGCACCGAGGATAAGAGTTGACTTGACCATCTTGAAAAACTTGTAGAGGGTGTTGGGGAGAATGAGAGGGATGGGTGAAGAAGAGCAAGATGAATGTCAGAGGGATTCGTCCTGCTTTTTATCTTCGGCCGGTGAACCATCGTAAGGCATCACGACCAAGAAATGAAATCTAGACTGCGCTCCCTTTGTTGCCCGCTGTGACCTTACTAATTGAGTCCATCGCGCAAAAGGTCTATTCTGTAGGATTCACTTTCACAGCCAATCAGCGACAAAACAGCGTCGCATTTTTACCATTATCTATTCTTGGCGACGGTGACGACATTTCGTATCCGCTGGATATAGACCAGATTTGGAAGGTGAAAGTTGGCAGGGGATGCTCTCTTAGCGCTTCCTTATCAACAGTCTTTCGTGGTTGAAAAAAGGTCCCGATGGTTGCAACCCAAGACCAGCAGGTGATGTCTGTAATGGGCGCTATATGGACGAATGCTATAACCCTGATAGAGCAAGCGCTGCAGGTGATTGAAAAGACTTCGCCGTTGGGACCTCAAAAGAGATGTCTCACAAAAGTTCTATTACGATGCAGGAAGGTTGATTGGATGAGGCGGGAGTAGATTGCTAGATCTCGGCATTGGAGGGCACCAAGCCCAAGTGGGCAGGCGTGTTGAGTTAAGCTTATTGGCTAGTCTTGCGCCATTGACCTCTCTTGGGAGATAGCTCCGATAATCTTATCTTGAAGCTTAAAGACGCAATCGCAATACTCGGCTCGAGACTTGGCATTTCAAAAGTCCATAGTTTATTGGGCAGGAGAATAAATTCCACCCCGATTGGCGACCCGTCTGCCGTCTTCGTTCCACCACTAACAAACAAGCACGCAATCCCATTCTAGTAAATGTACCTGAATCCAGACTGTCTCGTCTCCGCCACAGCTAAGTCACCCTTTCCGTTCTCGTTTCCAGCAGCATTAGCCTCATTTTCCAACTTATCCAACTTCTTGTTCTCCCACTTGTGCACATAACGCAGCATAAGAGCCAACAGCGCGACGAGAACGCAAATAGCGGCATTGGCGCTACCACCTGGTTTGTATTGGGGGCCGTCGCTGCTAGGATACATGTATGAGCCGTAGATACTGGCTGTGTTGCCGATCATGTTGCAAATGGCGATACAGGCGGACCGCTTGACCAGGGGACGGGGGAAGGAGTTTGCGACCCATGAGACGATGATCTGGTCTGTGTATATCGTGAGTAAATGCTACGGCCGAAGTGAGTATGGGAGACTTACAGGATGATACAGCACCCATGGGCATGAGGAACATGGCGAAGAATCGAGCTCCGACCACTGTAGTTCCTGCTGCGATCGCGTTTCCAACAGCAGCCAAGAGCATAAGACAGATGATATGCAGCGATCGATCATTCGTCTTGGCCGAACTCATCGTCACACCAACAGACAACAGGAACGTCGCAAACTATTCCAACAATTAGTACTTCCCCATAAAAGAATTTATCAGACTTACCCAAGCGGGAGCCGTAAGCCAAAGCGTCTCAATCTTTCCATAACCCAGAGTTCCCACGATCGTAGGAAAGAAATACTGAAATGTCTGCGAGACCAAACTGACATGCTGCAGAAGAACGAAGAGGTAAAGACGGTAATCGCGAACAGCCATCTTGACACCGTCCCACATGGACTTTTCTCCGTAGGCGTCCTCTTCGTTGATGTCTTTTGTTAGACGCCATGCTGCGAAGGCGCGTTCTTCTTCGGTGAGCCACTTTGTGGTGTGGGGGTAGTTGGGGAGGATGAACATGGCGATTAGTGAGAAGCCGATGGCTGCTACACCTTCCTGTATTCATTCTGTCAGTAAATGTTCTATCTGAGAAGGATTCGGGTGGGGGGAATTACGATAATGAAGAGCCATCTCCAACCTGCCTTTCCGTGTGCACCGTCAAGATCACCCAGGATGGCAGCGCCAAGTACACCACCAAACATATTCGCCAACGCATTTCCAGAGTACAACCACGCAATCCTTCGCGTCAATTCGGCACGGGTATACCAAGAGCTCATCAGAAACACAGCACCAGGGAAGAAAGGCGCCTCCACAAAACCAAGGAAGAATCGAATGACGATCAAATGCGTAAACTTCTGCGCGCCAGCATTACACGTCGAAACAACGCCCCAAAGGCAACAACTCGCGCTCAAATAAATCGACGGTCGCACTTTTGTAAGGATGAGGTTCGATGGCAATTGCATGAGGAGGTATCCGACGAAGAAAATCGATGTCGCAAGATTGAAATCTGTGCCAGACATGCCCAGATCCTCTTCGAGGGAACCTTGTCTTGCTTGCGCGAGGTTGGATCGGTCGAGAAAATTGAGTAGATACATTATTACGAGCGTGGGCATGAGACGCAAGTCTACTTTGCGGAGGAGTTTCTTCTCGAAGTCTTTCTGCCATTCTTCGGTTTGGGAGGGGAAGTTGTATGCTTGGTTGGTTGGAGCATGGTCGCCTTCGTCCATCTGGACGGTCGGTTTGGCGTTGTCCATCTTGTAAATATTGTATGGATTGCTGTTCGTGTTCTGATGTTTGGAGGAGGAAAACGATGACGCAGGACAAGAGACCAAGGATTCAGCTGCGACGAAAACTCTATATAAAGCCCAGCAACGTCTTCCCCTCGGCAGCATGATTCAAGAAACGGCAATCACGGCATTAGCCTCGGCATGTCAATACCCCGAACTCCAAACAATCGAACGATTGCAATTCGTTGATGCTTAAGCGATCTGCAATAATTGCAACGCGATTGACCAAAGAGAAGCATATGCGGACCAAAGCGAGAAAGTCCGGTGTCGATCTCCCCCGCAACGGGACATCGCTTACCCCGCGTATGGGGTAGTGGTGATTCTGGGGTAAATGGGACAGGGTCTATGACTCGAATGATGATCAATTGAGTTTATCCGGAGCAAGGTGAGTGGATGGGGGTTATGGTTACTGGGTAAGGTTGGAGATGGCTGCAGCCTCCAGCGACGTTTGAACGATGTTTGGACGTCATTATTGATAACGATGCTCAGGCAGATTCGTTATCAAGAGGCCATCGCTTTTGTTCATGTCATTGATAGTGAACATACCTAGCTAATATCCCTGCAAGAATGCCCTGATGTTGTGGTACCATTTGCCATGGGCATCCTTCTTAACGAGTCCACATCGTCCAAAAGCAGAAGACCGTACATGAACAAGGCACCCAACAGACCAATCACGAGTCTCTCCAAGTCAGCCACTTCTACAGGTGCACCTCGGTATCAGTCAACCCGACTCTCCACCACCTCGTTCTCATCGTCGGGTTCACTTTCTAAGCCAAGTGAACAATCTCTTTCTCAATCCTCTCCCACTCCTTAGGCGTAAAACACCCCGAAACCCAATAATTACCATCCAAATCCTTTGCTTGCACGTTGATAAGGTTTCTCATTATCCTGCCAGCATTCGCATTAATTAGATCTGCATGGTGATAGACAGGGCCCGGAGATTTCTCGGCCGCGGAACCAAATCTGGCTGCCGCAAAGATATCCGCTTTCATTCTGTTATTAGTCGTGAGGAGAATACTATTTGACTTGGCAAATATCGGTGTTTGTGCTGTGCCGCGCTTGCGAGAGAATTCTAACATTGCTAGCAGCTTGGGTTCTTGGAGTTGGTCGAGGAGGTCTTGGCGACATGTCAGAGCTTGGATGCCGAGCGGTTGCTGGAATATGGTGGGAAGCATCGTGCTGAAAGATGCGAGAACCATATTCTGTGCGTATACTCCTTTGGTGTTTTGGAGTTGGGATAGACGAACGCGGGCGTCGATGGGAGTTACCAGGCTGATTGGTCGCGAGGTTGATTTAAATATGGTTCTAGTGAACCACGCCAGGATAGCATCGTTGGGACTGACCCAGGCGTCACTAGTTACATCTTTAATATCGCACAGGGCTTGCTGGTGTAGCTTCTCAACGGTTTTCTTCGGAAGACAGATCATACGACTTTCAACAGTTGGTTGCGTAAGAAGAGTCCAAAGGAATCGGACAACAAAAAGTATGAACGAGAATCCTGAAAGCGTTCTCGACTCAATGTCTGAAATTTGTAAACTGTAGTTGGATTTACCGGCGATGTCGTAGAGCACGTCATCTTTAGCACCTATAATTTCTGGAACATTTTCCTTATGGCCATTAAGGACGTCTGACCACGCCTGCACCAGATGATGAAAGCCCTTTGCATCGAAGAGAGCGTGAGGCCACGAAATACTGACGATTGTCGCGTCTTCGAACGACACGATGTGCAGAGAAAGCACGGGTACATCTCGACTAGTGAAATCCTTGAGAGTTTTAGGCGTATCGGGTGATAAGACCAAATCCCAAAAATTGGACAAAATCGGATGTACAGACGGCTCTGCCGTGGCCTTCGGGAAAGAGGTAGTCAATTCGTGCTCGCCAATGCTGATATCGTATTTCTTATGCCAAAACGCAACAGCTGGGGTCGTTGAGTGTATCTCGAGGTGTCCGTTCGTGTTGTTGCCAAATTTGAGTCGCCCTCCGAACTTCTTCCAGTCGCCGATCTGAAGCAATTCCGTGAGGGTATTATGGAGTTTTTCTGGGTCTAGGACTTCGTCAAAGCGCATTGTCCATGCCATGATCATTTGTCTTAGCATGGAGAGATTATCCATCATATGTGTAGGGTACACATAATTGGACGATGATTGATGAGATGAAGCCATGGTGGGTTTGTTATTCCGGTTGGATCGAGGATGGCGAAATCGCAGAGATCTGAATTGGCTACAGGAAAAGATATACTTCTGAAATCTCACATAAGCACAAGAATGAACGCTATGTCTATTTTGGATTAGCTTGTGTAATGAAAGTAATATCCATTTATGCACTGGCGGTTGGCTAACCTATTATGGACCCATTTTGCACAATAACATGTCGACTGCCAACTGATGAAACAATCTGTCAATGTATTATTGACGCAGACAAACACTACTTTGTTATACTATAGGCTCGGGTGTAGAAACGACGCTTAGCAAAACCTTGTCCCTAAGGAGTGACAAATGGTTTTACAAAATCTGTTTACAAAAGCTTTTGATGGTCTTCGTATATCAAGCGTTGATTTTCCTGCAATTCACCCTCCCACAAGAACAAAAAGATAGTCTTACCCTCTATCGAGGAGCTAATAGCCAGGGTACTATATAAATAGACTAGATTCAAGGTCTGGCTTTATTGTAATAGAGTAATCATGTCCATTCTGTGGTTGATTTGTCTTTTTATTTCAGGTCTAGGGTAGTATCATGTACATTCCTGTCTGGGATAAAAATAACTTGCGTTATGTTATGCTATCGGAGCTACAGCATATCAGCAGATACGGATACAGCGTCATGATTGCCGATCTCGAGTCACGTGGATGTCTCGCCCGATTGATACATAGTACTTTGTCCTTTAATCAGTTAGCAAAACAACGCTCTCTTTTTTGCTCTGAATCTTATCGCAATATCTCACTTGAAAACAAGGCTCCTTGAAATGCTCGATACGGTGGACATAGCGTGATTTCAGATCAGGCTGTGAGACCAGCCGGCTCATCATTGGCTGTTTGATTTGTTGAACAACCAACAGAGAAGACCCTGGTCGAAAAGATGTTGATTGGATAGGGGGCAGCGTGAATTCTGCAGAACTCGTTCGCTTTCTCTATTACGACGCGCTTTCCCTTCGCCTGGACGCGTCCTGCTTTTTCTCCTTCTTTTCCTCCCTCATATCATGAACAACCCGCCTTGTATCGACGCGGTGGGGTCGCTCTTTTAAGGTTCATTGATCCACAATACCCTTGGTTTTACAAGAATTCCACCACGCGCAAGCCGATACGCGAGCATGGAGGACCAAGCCGCCGTTCACCGAATCTACCAGGAATTGGGCGCGTTGTTCAATCCTGTGCAGCCATCGGAAGAGCGCTGGCGAGCTCAGGCCAAATACGAGGCCGCAAAGAAGCAACACAGAGATGAAGCTGACCCAGAGAGAGAAAGGGCCCTATGCAAGGAAATGACCCGATGCCTAGATCATTTGGAACATGTCGAAAAACAGGAGAAAGTAGAGGAAGAACAGAGGAAGGCACGGCAACAAGAGCTCGAAAAACAACTAATTCCCCTTCTCTCAAAACGTTATGGCGGATTCACTCCGTCAGTTCAGCAGCGATCTGAGCAGTCGGATGAAGATGCTACTCTGGCCACCCCCGATACTACCACAACAGATATCAACACAGGCCTCGATAACGACCGAGGAACGAACCCAGCTACTGAATCCCCGATTAACTTCGAGGATCCAGTTAAAAACTCTGTTCGAGCAGGAGATCAGAGTACAGAACCGTCGGGAGATATTGTCTATATCCCAAGTTTTCAAGACACGATCGAGCCTAGATCTCCCACCGACCGAACTCATAGACGCTCGACCACTCTAAATCAACGAGATAGTACTGAACAGACTGGCCGAACCGACCCAATTCCGTCAAGCGACAACTCGACCGCCATCGATGAACAACGTACAGTCCAACGGTCTGGTGAAACATCTTCATCAAACAAGAGACGGGGGGCCGATACACCCGCATCGCGCCGTACCAAGCACCAGCGACAAGCCATCGAAACGGGCTCTCTTACAAAAAACACAATTTCGTTTAACGAGGTGTATGGAGATGGCCAAGTCGATCTCAGATGCAGAATCATGGAGCGCGATGAACGTTACTACATCTTCAAATGCAGGAAGCATGATAAGCTCTTCGATGCCAAAGATCCTCTTCAGTCTGCCACAATTCATCTCAAGTCGCATGGTAAATTGAGGTCGACCCACCAAAACGCCTTTAAATACTTTGGGTATCAAGTAATTGGCTGCACTGAGGCGCAGATTGTGTTGAACAACAGGATTGTAGACCAGTATTTGGAAGAACAGGAGCACAAGAGGGAGCGTCGCAAGGCTTCTACCTATAACCTTCAACGATATCCACTGACTGGTGAGGTGTATATGGCTTGGTGGAACTGCGATGGAGCTATCGTGCTCCACGCACTTTTAGTCATCCCGTTCTCGGAGTCGGAGCCGGGTTATGGCGTGGATATATGTGTCGAGAACTCAGATCTCGGTGATGACATTCCCGCTTGTTACGAGAGTGACGGAACATGGGCTGAGGGCTACAAAGATGGTCAGAAACACATGAAGGATAGGGTATACCCAATTATGTGCTTCGATGGTTATAACCCGCACCTAGTCGATTGGCTCCCCCTGGCGCAGTTCCGAGAACTCGATTTTGATGACGAGCACCTGGATTACGCGCAAGATGTTAAGGATTACCTTGCTTCGAGAAGCAGAAGTAACACTGCCACAGGTAAGTTATGATACTACAGAGTGTGGTAGTGTACTAATTGGACCTATTACAGGCCTCGGAAACGAAATTGAAGACGATACGGAAGACATTTACGATGACAGCCGCAATGGCGATGGCGATAACGATGGCGTCGGCGATGGGCCGACGTTCAGTGGACATACACAGACGCACATTGAAGAACGACCCGAGACCGCCGAGCCTGTTGAGGGTGACCATACCGGTACGGCAACGGAAATACCAGAGAAGGACCCACAGAGAGATATCAAGGTTGAATCCTCAACTCAGCCTTCAGGAAGGGGCCGGCTGTGGCCACTAGCGCGCAGAGCCCCTCCCGCCATGGAGAGTTTGGATAACAGCGACAGCGAGTGAGGTCAAACAGGGGGCCCAGGGGGAATGCATGGAAGGTTACTGTGTAATTTCACTATGCTGCGTGAATCATCACTATCTTTGGTGTGTTGTACGCCCTTAACTCCCCAGGTATCTCTTTAATGGTCTGCATACTACTGTTAGGTAAGCTTTGTGGAGCTATTACAGGTTGAACAGCAAATAAGGTGATTTTTCAAGACCGGTATCCCCATGGGGACTAGCTCCGAGAAGGAACTACGCAACTGTAGTCTTTAGACAATTAGAGGGGTGTATATGTAAATCACAGGCACCCAGCCACGGACGAATCGATCCGTCCTGTCTAATCAACAAATGGCTTTAGTCTGAGCTTTGAGCACTTCGGTGAGTGAAAATGCGTGACTTGTCGATTTTCACCCCAGGGCTGATGGGATGAGACGAAGTCAGGCAGCACGGCGATCCTATCGGAAGGTTGAGGTTGTTGACCCGGAGAGAAATCAGAGGAGCGAAGAGGCAACTGTATCAGCGAGGAAACAAGTCTAGACCGCGATACCATGCAAGCCACCGTCGCAGGATTAATATTGCAAGGGTCAAATGCTGGGTCATCCTTGGCTGCTTGACTTGTTGGACGACCAACACGACATACCCTGGTCTGAAATGGAGAGAGTCAGGCTGTGAATCTGAGAAGACTAAATATGTTTCCCCGGAAATTTCCCGTCTTATGCTTATATCTCAGCTGGTGGATTTGACCCACATCTTCCATATCAAGTCCCCATTTATTCTAACTCTTCTCTATGGCGAGACGCGTGTAGATGTGACTGTAGTGAGGCCACTGAGAGCGCGATCCCTTCGCCTGTTAACTCAGAACAATTTCTCCCAGTTTCACTGCCTAGTTCAAACCCTCAAAACTACATCCAAGCAGCCAATATGGACGAGGCTTTCGTAGCCCAATCGCCCCAGAGAGTCATTCCTCTACAACAATGGATCGAAGGATGGTCAGCATGCACCGCCCTGGAGAAGTCTCCCAACGAGATCCTTCAATACGAACATCAACAAGCCAAAGCCGAGCTCGATGACGCATACGAGCGATTCAAGTCACAAGGAACTCAAGACAGTTCCGATGAAGTCCATAGGTGCATGCAGCGCTGCATAGCGCTTGCTCACCCAGACGAGTCTACCAGAAAAGCCAAGGAGCGTGATTATCAACAAAGTTGGGTGCTGTTTTATAAGACTCTGTTCGACATATTGGACAATCCTGCAGCTATCAAGGCAGTCTTAGATAAATTTCGTGAGCGTGCGAGCACCCAGCATTCATCGCATCATGAAAGCACAAGAAACCAGTGTCAGACGACGGCTTTCCCTGTCAGCAATTCCCCCGATACTCAACACTCAAGCAGGTCACAAAACCCCAGAATTGAACCTGTCCCGACCACCCACCGTACGCACAGCCAGGGCGAGCTAAGCATCAATGATCAGCGAGCGGAAGGCGAAGCGAGGGGCCGAACGACTCGATCAAAGACGCACACGGCCTCAACAGCATCACCCGCACCTCATTGGGAGAAGCGGTCTCGGCAGGCTCCTTCGGAAGCCGCTCCAACAACCACAGAAACTATTGAGTTTCGCGAAGTATATCAAGACGGCCAAGCCGAGCCAAAATACACTATTATCGAGTACGAACGACTTTATTACATCGTGAGATGCAAGGAGCATGGGCTGGCTTTCTCTGGCGAGCACCCGCTCCAGGGTGCTATGAATCATTTGAGGGTCCCAGGACACCAAGTTGAGGGTATAAATTACTCTCTAGCAATCTCCAAGCTCGGGGCCCTGGTGCTGAATTGTGATGAAGATGACAAAGAGAAAAATAATAGGGTTGTAAGAAGGCATGTTGAGCAAATGGAAGATCAGCGACGACGACGCTGTCGCGCTTCCCAGGCCTATCGAGATCTCAAACCCGACCCTCAGCATGGTGACATTTACATGGCATGGTGGGATCTGGGTAAGACAGCGAAGCAATCTGGACAAGAGGATCTGAAGCTCTTCGCGTTTTTGGTTCTGCCTTTCTTTCCGCGAGACAGTAATCGCTTTGGCTTGAGTGTCACCACATCGAACCTCGAAAAGGACATTCCTACTTGCTACAAGCACGATCCGTCAACTAATACCTACGAGTGGGCTGAAGACTACAAGCCAGGCGAAAGAAAAGCCTTAAAACGGTCTTACCCGATAATGTGCTTCGATGGGAGTCTCGCGCCGAGCGTTCAATGGATCCCCATCACCCACTTCCGAAAGTTCAATGCCAAAGATCCCTATCTTGAACATAAACACATTGTGAATGGCTACATCGCGTCGCAGAGACACATTGTTCACCAACCAGGTAAGCTCCCAAGTTTAAAGCAATTTTTATTTTACTAACACAATTGCTTGCAGATTTTGAACCGGAATCTGATGACACCAGCTCCGACTCCGACTCCGACTCCAACTCAGAATCAGATTCCGACAGCTCTGACGATACCCATTTACCAATCGCTTTCAGATATACACAGACTGTAAATGGCAGAAGGTGTGAAATCATCTATTTAGATGATGACGGTACGCCCAAAAAGGTGATGGAGGACCCAGAAAACTATCCGCTCCGGTGGAGAACCCCAGAGTTGGAGGTGAAGAAGGAACCTGGGATCCAAGATAGCGTGCAGCGGGCGGACCAAGGTACGCGATAAACGTCCCATCAGGTTTTAGAGGCCTCGCTGACGTTTTGAAGCAGCCCAACAGCCCCTGCAACCACAGCCAGGCTCACTAAGGATACAATGCCCGTGTCCTAATTGTCGGTAGAGAGATGCAATGCTGGCTGTGCAGATGTAAAGTGGGGCAATGATAGAGGATCCTTATAGAGGGTTTATAGCGGCTGTAGCCTGTAGCTAGTGCCCCAACAGGCCTGTTTAGGATACAACAACAAATCCCACGACTACCTGTGTTACTCTTGTCGTAGATTATAACGCAAACAGGACCATGATCTACTGATCCGATTGAACGCTCTACACACAGCTAAGTACATTATATAACAGGTTATATTTTTCCATAAATCTAATAATAAATGCGCATAAGCCCAAGACAGTCGGCTCTTGTATCCACTCGGTACAGTACTAGATAGAGCATCAATTGCTATAGTTATTATATGAGGCTTTACGGATAGACAGTAGCATTATTCCCGGCTACAAGGGTTACAAACGTTATTTTCTGTACTTTCTAAGCGGTAAAGTGATCTTAGGTTTGCTCTGGTCTTCTCCAGGGTTGTATTATATACATTCTCTTTCTTATCCCTGTAAACTAAACCAAACCTTTTTCCTGTAGCAAAGATATCTATAGAATTGTGGAAGTTGACATGTGTAATGCTTGTGGCCTGTTGGTAGGTTTGGGCAAATGGGAGCTATCCAATGGGATGTTGAACCGTCGGGCAAAAATTGAGGCACGCACCACCTGTTACAGTGGCCAGACTAACAAGAGATGACCAGACAGATGATGGATTTAATTACGACAGAAGGGGTGGAGTTGTTGGAATTTTCCTGGCTTTTTTTAGCGTACCTCACCACCCCTTTTATCCTCATCAAAAGGCTCCCTTTTATTTTAGACTTGTCATATGTCCGTTGGTTCTACTGAGAAATCTTACCCTGGATAGGAGGGGCGCGTATATTCCGGAATGGAGCAGGGGCATGTCCCGAACCAATCGGTCACTACGTGCGGCTGAAAAACATGGTGCGCGGTCTTCTTCACGCAGTAAGCAGAGAGGCAACTAATCTAACCTGTTCTTATACAAGCCACACAGGAGAGAACTGTCGGTTCCAGGATGTTAAGATAACGTATAACTGGTTCGTTCGTTGGATCCTTGTCTGTTGATATTTTGATGAGACGTGGACAGGATCAGGCTGTCACATTTGAGGAGGCAAAGGGGGAAAAAAAAAAGTAAATGAATTGCTCCATTTTACCATTCCTTTTCCCGTCATATATTGTTATGTGTTGTTGACAAGGGTTTGTTCTTCTTCTGAAACACTTTCTTGTATTCATATTCATATCGTCTTGTTGACTTGAACAGCAACCGGAAGATCCACCGTCTCCACTGGCTGACCTAGCGGTCAATAGCGTGAACCACTCTAAAACACCCGCCCAAAATGGAGGGCCATACAGTACAACCCGCAGAGCGAACTCCCACCATCAAAGAGTATCTGGCACGATGGAAACCCGACATTCATCCTGTGAAATCTGCAGAGGAAGAGTTTCAAGAGAAACTCAAGGAGTATCAAGATCTATTCAATAGCCTAACTGATTCATCACAAAAGTTCAACAGGATGCCGGAGATTATGGACTGTGGAGGCCGCATCACGCAGCTTAAAGACACTAAGCAAGATAAGGAGCGCGAGTACCGGCAGAAACTTTGTGATCAACAGGAAGCTCTTCTCTGTGAGGCTTTCGGCCTAGTTGATCTCGAACTGATTGATGAAATATTCAATGATTGGTGCCATGGTCGTGCCCAGCCTTCATCAACAGCTCCCACACAGTCAGCTACTGGTATCCCAGGTACCATCGAGATCGAACAACCCCAAGACACAACTATCTCCCGTTTCACGCCCATTACAGACCAACCGACAAGTACGCGAAACTCCATGCCGAGCCCGCCCAACAGCGACATTTCACGGGAGACAAGCACCCGTCCGAGCGAACTAGACAGACCCGACCACAATACCTCAGCAGGTCCCCAAAAGAGACCGGCCAACCCCGTCGTAGCCCGTCAACCAAAGCGCCCTCGATCGGATGTGACTCTGGGTCCCCTCACAGGAGAAAGGACAATTGAGTACGATCAGGTATACCAGAACGGCAAAGCCGAGCCGAAGTATAACATTGCTAGGTTTGAGGGGTTCTATTATATCCTCGAGTGTAAGGCGCACAGGATGCACTTTCACAAGGACCCCTTGCGTGGTGCCTCAAAGCATCTTCGGGGCAAGAAGCATAACCAGAGGTGTGTCAGTTACGGAGAGGCTATTCGCGCACTCGGAATTCGCGTTCTTAATTGCGACGAGAAAAAGGCCAAGGACAATAACGATGTTGCCCAAAGACCTACTTACTCTCAAATGGGTCGTCCATTGACTAGCCTTTCGCCCTCAGCTGGCCGTGATATCCCCACACGGAGTAACCAGAGTCTTGCGGCGATTGACCCAAAGCCTGGCGAAGTATACACTACCTTTTGGAGTGGGACTAAGGAATTCTTTGCGATATTGGTTCTTCCTTGGATCAATTGTGGCCAGCTTGGTCCAGACTTGCCGCTCACTGTCCAGGACACCGAGCTCATTGACAACGTCCCAACTTGCTACCGGTATAATCAGGCCGATGACTCATTCGAATGGGCACCCGAATACCTTCCTGGTGGGCAGCACTACAGCAAGAGAGAATACCCCATCATGTATTTTGATGCCCCCGTGTTCCCAGGGCAATGTCGGCTTAAATGGATTCCTGCGTGCGAGTTTGATCTCTACGATCCCAAGGTTCCTACCCTCCAGTTCAAAGACATCGTGGATGGCTACATTGCTTCTAGAGACAACGGCATCCAAGAATCAGGTGAGTGGATAAGCTTTACATGTCACATTTATACTTTCAACAAAGCATCGCACTTCCTTTCCTTCCACAGAACCTTTTACCTTTTGCCCTGCCCTAACATAAGGTTTTGGCTGAGCATGAAATGGACACTTCTCTTCTTTTTCCCTTCCTTCCACCACCAACAACAGCCGCAAACCGTCGCAATGAGCAAAGCAACCACAATCTTCCTTTGGTGTCTATTCGCTATTTGTGCCCTGCTAATCGCATGTGTTTTCTCATTGCAGATTATAATACCCTGGTACAACGCGAGAACAATCGAGGAGACCCCACTATCGACGCGCCAACCGCCGAAATCTTCCCACGCGAACATTCCTCAGACGCCCGAGAGATCATCCTCATAGATGACGATAGCGACGACGATACAGCGGACCACAATCTGTGGCCAAGTTCCTCGATCGGGTCTGACGATCCCGCTCCCAAGACTGAACCCTCGGACGAGGCTATGACGGATATCCATGACCAGCAAGTCGCAACCACCACCTGTGACAATACACCCAGCCAGCCCATCCTTTCTACCTTCAATCCCACTCAGCTGTACAATGGTCTTTTCGATTCTCAGGTACCCAATGAGGCTGTACCAGGATGTCCACCCTCGTGCGACACGCAAGCCCAGACTCCCATTCATGATCCGACGCCACAATGGCCTCCGGCCTTTTTGCACGAACCGTCTCCGATCGATAGCACGAATCTCCATCACGAGCAGCTACCTCAACCAATGCCTTTCGATACCCGCGCACCCGAAGCTATCATGGCGCCGTTGCCTACCAATCAGATTGCAGCTCCAATCCCAGGCCCCAGTGACAACTCTCAAATGCAACCAACGGCCCAGCCCTGCCAGGGTGCTCAGGCAACAGAGTTGTACAGTTACTTGAGCCAAGCACGCAATGCATCGTCGCAGTTCCAACTCGACAGCGACGGTCGTCTCAGATGGATTGCTCCCAAGGCCCTATCTGGGCTGGCTACGAAGCAGAAGCCGATGAGTGTTCGTCAACATGAAGAGGTTAGAGCTCGGATACAAGCTATTGGCAAAGAGCCCCAGCCCACTCAGCAGCAGGCGTCAATGTCGGACTCTCAGCAAACGAGTTATGTAACACCCCATGGTTTTAAGAGATCATTTTAATACATTCCAGGGGGGATAGATGGAACTATCAGTAGAAATCTCAAGCGAATCAATTGTGAGACTCAAGTGCTGCAACATCTTTGTGATCCATATGTAGTCGTAGACTTGGCAATAAAATATGCACTTTCTGGCGCCCCGATATAATGACCTAACGAGCGAAGGTGAGATTACCGACATATAGGCCTAGGCATATAATTATTTTATCCATCAAGGTTCTCTGTTAGACAATGTTTTATTCATTCTTTCCTAAAGCCATCTAGTTGGCTAACTCGAGCTTTTCCAAGACGCAGATCCGCCGCCTTTTGTACCACAAGAATAGTTTACTGCAGACACTAGGCAACGACACCAACAACGGTAGTAATGTTGTTATCGAAATCAGGCACGACCTTGAAAGTCCTGAAGTCCTTATCCCAAGATGTTGTGTGTGTGTTTTTCCCAGCATCACCCAGATTGATGGTGATACCAAAGACACTAATGCTACCACCAGCATTGGTAGTCTCCTCCAGCTCACTATCAAGCGTCTCGGCGGTGGATTCCCCGACGGTGATCTCAAAGCCGAGACCGGCGACGACAACGACTTGGCTGGCTCGAGAAAGTGTCTTGACTTCGTTGGGGGCTTCAGAACGTAACTTGTACTTGCTGAGGTCGACATTCCTGTAGTTACAGTCAGTGATGTTGTGGTAGTATAGTTCAAGATGTCGTGACGTACCACTGTCCAGGCTGGACGGTCACAGCGCGGATGTCATTGTAGGTGACGACAACTTCGACTTCCGAAGACTCGGAACCAGTATCCAGTGTTGAATCTCCGAACGAGAACCAAGGGGTTCCAGCATTGACTGAAGCATCATCAGGTTGCCCGAAATTATAGTCAGAAGTGTCCTTGTCAGTGTCGATGTCGACTTCAATCCGATTGTGAGAGCTGTAGTCGCCACTAGCGGCCTCTGTCACGGCATCCTTGACAAAGGCCTCACATTCGGGAGATTGATAGAGTGGAACCCGAGATGTAAGTGGGTCGGGGATACTCTCGCCAGAGCGCTCCTTGTTGAGAAGCTCAACGTTACTAAGATTACCGCCACTTGCAGCCTTCATGTTGTAGCTAGACATAGTTAGCCTGGTCCAATCACATAACAGTGACTGAGAACGTACCCTGGAAAATCCGAACCCATGTTCCGGCCCATGCTGAGGCTGTCTCTGTCGGATCTGACAGTATTAGCCATGGGTCCGCCCATCTGAACTTGGATCTGGGTGATCTTTTGAGAGACCATATCTGCCTGTTGCCTAGCCGCAGTGCAATCAGGGGCCTTTCCCATGTCGAGCCAAACTGCGAAAGGCTGGTCAGTCATGCCGCGCTTGACGTCCTTGGTCCACCTGGCTTCAGCCCTAGCAGTCGCAGAGTCAAGTGCTGCCTGAGAATCCTGCTGCTCTGTGATGGCGTCCAAGAGAGCAGCATCGAGGCCAGGGTTGGCATTGCTTCCCTAGATGGAGTTAGTAAGAGCCTTGAAGCAATCGATCGATATTCTTACGAAGTCTACCCAGTTCAGAAAGCTACAGAGCATGTCAGCACGGGGGACCAATTTTGAACAACATGAGATGGCACTTACGTGTCGAGGGCTCGATCATATCCGTGCTGGGCAGGAGTGTAGAAGACATTGTTAGTGGACAGGACGTTGTTCGCAATGGCATACAATCCCGCACTGCTGTAGGCCTTGGGATATAAGAGCCAGCAAGTGGACCCTTTTGAGCCTCAGAGGACAGGAAGAACATCTTGTCGCATACTCAATCCGAGATTCTATTCCGGTTGACGTAGAAATCCTGGTTTAAGGCGGTTAAAGTTTCTTATCATCTGCGAAATTAAGAACTGAAAATAAATCAACATGTTCAGTGATCTTACAACAAGAAGGTATTCAACAAATATCAACAGTTCCAGACAGCAATCACAGTAAAAGCTCTGGTTATCACTTGAGGGATAGCTCAGAATGGTATCCTTTAGAAAACAAATGCCTATAGAATTTTTACATCTCAGATTTCACGACCCAGCCAGCGGAGTGGAACTTAACGACGTATGAGTAGCAATCAATTTGGTACCTTGCAAAAAGGTATATGTACCTGATAAGTCAAGTTTGCCGAACTCGGTCAGTAACTCGGAGCCAGAAATGCCGCTGGAGGAAAATGCCATAAGCAAAGCTTTCCCAAGGATTCAATGGATCTACCACCGATAGTTCATAGCGGCAAAGTAACTACAATAGGTAGTAAGTAGCTGTTCGTCCTGCCAATCCCTGATAAGGGTATGACAACTAAAGGTTTGGAGACTTACCTCAACAATCACCTTATTGACCTGCAGGATAGCCAAATCCTTTCCAAGACACGTATAACGTCCAGAGCTAAACCCGCATTCTACTGTCCTTTCCATCACCCTGAGTCTCTCATTTTCGGTATTGATCCAACGCTCAGGGCGGAATATATCTGTATCGTCACCAAAGACTTCGGGGTCTCGCATCATGCCCCAGAAAGAGAGTCCGATATGAGTACCTTCCGGTAACTTTCGGCCATCGGCTAGCACATCTCCTCCTGGAGGGACGACCTTTTCCATAAGTCCGCAGAAAGGGGGCCATATCCGCAGAGTCTCCTTGATACAGGCTTGCAAATATGGCATCTTTGAAGCGGTTGCGAATGAGACAATGGTCTCATTTGATCGCTCGGATAGCAGACCGTTAGCTTGAAATTCATCAAGTAGTCGCCTGTGTACTTGCGGCTGTGTGATTATATATAGAATAGCAACCCGGAGGGCGGTTGCTGCCGGGTCGGTACCGGCCATCCTACACTTATGTCAGTAAATCTCATAGAACATGATGTAAATCGTGATTGGCCAAGTTAGACCTACAGCTGCACAATGGTTTCTGCTTCAGCTTCCTTCTGAGTTATGCCATGGCGGATAAACGACCCTAGCATGTCCCGTTTCTCCAACTTCCCGGGGCCAAATCGCTCACGAGCTCGCTTCTTCGCAAAACTGCCATAGTCAGGACTCGTCGTTCATAAGGAATTTCATAGATACTTGACCATCCAAGGAACAGCTCACCCTAGTAACCTTCCGTACCCATGCTTGTCTTCAGTGCTAGGCATGATCCACTTTAAGATGGAGCTATTCTCAAACATAGTGACTATCCAAGGGAAGACAGTCAATGTTTGTACGATCGGGAGACCCTCGGCAGTGATGCCATAGTAGTCGTACAGATCGCTGTTGCTCTTAATATTGCCGATACAATGACTAAATCCAAGTTCAGTGACGACATCTAGAGTAAGATTACTGGACATCAAGCCCCAGTCAAACGGCTTATAGCTGTGGTCATCGGAGATGTACTTGTTCCTGATGAGTTCGAGAAGCTCAGCAATGCGCGCATCCATATCCTTTTCAAAGTTCTCGCTTTCTTTGCCAGCATACTATGATTCATGGTCAGCCTAACACCTACAGTGGTATCTTTCTGACATGAGGGACTGACCCCGGCTGCCAATTTTGACCGCATCTCAGTATGCTTCTCATCGCTATACGTAAGAACAATATCCTTATCGGGCTCGAACCTCATGCCTTTGTACCAGTCTGCGCGAACATACGGGCTGCGAACAGCGCAGATGCGCCTCCATAATGTGGCGTCAGACGTCATGAGGGAGTTGGGAGCAATTCGAACCATCGATCCTGGTACGTGTTAACCATAATAAGTTGGCAGACCAACTTCAGGGTCACATACCATATTTCTTGGTTGTTGTGTAAAAGATCTGGTGCATCCTCCCAGAAGTTACCGTTTTCAACAGCCATAATTTGGTCCAAGCAGCCAATGGAGGCCCTTGAAAATCGCGAAGGCGGTGATAGCGACGAACGCTCGCAATGACTAGATAGGTTAGAACGGCGAGAATGAAAATAAAGATAAGTTGGGGATGATCATAAATGAAATCAAGAAAAATAGAATGCTTTTCTTTTCCAGTGGTTATGCTCAAGTTGCCGACCTTCGAGCTGTTTACTGTGCCCATCATTTTTATCTGAACAACTCAATATTTTGAACGTCAAGAGGGGAGCGATTTGCATTGTAAAAGATACGAGGTATTATACATTTATCCAGTCGAAAGATGCTGACCACCTAAAGCAGGCTTAAGAAGTCCGAGCGGTGTGCTGCTTGATTTTCAGCTGCTACCATCCAGGATCCGCGTTCCTCTTGCCTTATTTGCATCAACGCTTACTGGTACTTGGGAGACTCTTTGACATTCGAATGTACTATGACGTCCAGCCGCATTCCAGATGTATGTATTTTCAGCTGGGTGGGTCGATGAATACCCAACGTTGGGGGTCATAGCACTCAACCAAGAAACAGGCCCGAATGCTCCGAAGATTGTATCTATTGCATCAGAGTTATGGTACCCTGTATCAACGACATTGCTTTCTGAAGACACGCTCCTCGTTCTAGCACTATGCTGTTTCTTCCATACTTCGGCTCTTGGAATGATCCTGCTGGCTGTTGGAAAGTCTCTTCCGACGTCAACCTAGGTATCTACCGCAGTTATGGATGTCATCTGGTGGTTCTTCCCGATCCCTGTCAACGTAGCACACATCATTTTATCGTACGAATTTGATGTTGTGAAGGTGGACGACGAAGACGGATCGTCTGGAAAGAAATTGAATGCTCAGACTCATCCCACCTTGATGGAAGTTTACGAATTTGCCACCGCAGTCTCTTCATTCACGCACATCACAACCGCCATGATCGCATTCACTGATCGATTCTTTCCGTCGGTTTTCCCACCGGCGTATCAAGGCTTATTCCACGCATCTCAGGTTCTCCTCCCCCGACTCCGTGAACGAAGACCGATTTACAGTATTGTAGAAGGAGCATTGATGTTCATGCAGTGGGACAAAATTACTAGTCCAATAGCGATGTTGCTATGAAGCTTGTGTCCTCTATTCGCTGTTGTCCCAGTAGAGAAGAGATGTAGCGTCTTCAGAATTGGATGAAAGCAACGCTTTTTATCCGCAGCCGAAACCCAATATCAGGGCAATTGGCAAAGCAAAAAAAGAAAAAAGAGGTCCCGTGTGAGCATCAGAGTAATGGTGCTTGAAAAGTGTAATTCAAGATGGAAACCTTATTATCAGGTAACGTCTTCAGGTTGGTGGGTGAAACAATTATAAAATGCAGAATTGTCAGCCCTACTGCTACTGTAGTACAGATAACCAAGAGAAGACATATAGCCAGTCTTGAGATAGATCCAGAACTTTGATATCAACATATAAGCTTCTACAAGTCTCGAAACTACAGGTTTTCCACATTCGCCCTTCAACGACATACCTAGTGAGAAATAGCTCATCGCAACAGAACATTTCTCATACATCCCCATTTCACATTAAAATGCAGTGGCCAGTCTGGGTTCTTTACATGACATGTGTAAAAGGGTCTCATCAAGTCTTAGCCTAAATCAGTTCAATTTGCTGTATCTTGCCACCAAGTGATGCAGGATCAGAACAGCGCTTCACCCAAAGCAAGCCCAGTCTTGTATACGCATTCGGCCAATCAGGTGAATCTCCTCTCCAGTCCAAGACGAGACAGGACATATGGTTAAAAAACTCATTGCCATACTCGTAATAAATCAAAGGCATGCAGAAGACCTTTTGGCCCTTTTTGAACATTCTGTCTAGTGAATCTGGCTGGACTGCATATCCTAGCTGGCATCTAGGACCTTGGAATCTATACTGTCTCTTTCGGGTGCGAATGCACTCAATCGGCACGATCCTGGCCTTTAGCACAGCGATACCGCTGAGGACTGTGGACATCTTGTCCTGGGTCTGGGTGACAACTTCTACCGATACAAGCTCCGCAAGCAACGACTTATGCTTGATAGTGTTTTGCTGCGAAGTCGAAGTGTCAACGGTCAGATTGTGCACTTCCACTGCACCGCCTACGTGTGCCCACGACCAAGACGGCGCTCGATATTTTCTAGAAGGGGGGGCTGAGCAAATAACTACAGCCCAGTCTAGCAGTTCGATAAAGCGTGATTTCCAGAGTCCCGCTACATACTGGTCGCCGGTAACTTCCTCGAAAAGCTTGGCAATACCGGCCATCGCGTTGAGTCTGTCGCTGGGAAATGTGAGATTACACTTGGTGTATTGGTTAATGAGGTCAACCCATAGCCCAGCCTTGTCATCAGGCATTTGATTCTCTGTTCGCGTGGACGGGACCATCTCCATGCTCATCTGCTTCGGTGACTGGTACCCTGGTACACCTCCAGGAAAGACCTCGCAGCGATGTAGTGTGCGGCACTCCCAAATGAGTTGATGGCGACCGAAATAGAGGATTCGGGGTGACAGAAACCATTCTTGGAAGACCCAGCCTCGAGTACGCAGTCCGCCTTCGAGTATCTGTCGTTCAAAGTAGGATCTATCCCATATGTAATAAGGCTCCGGTTGCCCTGTAAATAGGGAGCTTTTCACTTTCCCGGCTTTGATAAAGTCCAAGTCTCTATCGTGGAAGAGACTGTCGTCCGAGGACCCGGAGCCAGAAGCAGCTATTGTGCAAACGGAATTGGAATAGACGTGTCGCATCATCGGGGATTCTCTTTCCCAGTCGTCCTTTGAGTCCTGGATTATGCATAGCGCGTCAATCCAGATGTACCGTATGGAGAATTGGCGGGCAACATATATAACATCCTGGAATAAAACGGGCAGATCGGCAATTGGTAGACCTTGTCGGAGCTTTTCAAGATTTGACGAAAGCAGTCGTATCTGAGGAGTCGGACTCCAACGGTAACTGAGGGTTAGATAAGAGATTGGACTTGAAGGTATGGTGTCCTTGGATGTCACACAAAGTCTCCAGTTGAGATATTCTTCGGTGTGGACATCAAGCAGTCTTGTGGGACGCCATAACTGCATTGAAGGGTTGTGGCTATTGCATTGTGAGTGCGAGTGTTGGCAGTGTTGCAGCCAAGGCAACCCTCTGGTCGAAACCTGGTGCTTGTCTATGGCGAGGTCCAGGACTGGGAAGACACCAGGATGGTTGTCTATAGCTGCGGAGGTCCGTTAGTGCAGATACGCGTTAGACTGGGACAAGGCCATACCATCTGCCGGTATAAACTGGAATTCAGTGGTGCAAACTCTCAAGCCATTTCGACCATCTCTCAGTCCGTATCTCATGACACTATAGTTTAACGGGCTCCATGTCTTGGCTGAGAAAAGTTCTCGCCTAACACCCTGACGTCCTCTCTGCCATACCACTGAGCATATGATACACTTATTATCTACAGCATCTTTGAAGCTTTGAAAAGTTTGTCCCTCAATAAGCATGCGAGAACGGTAAGTGAGGAGATATTTTTGGCAAGCGGAACATAGCTTTTCCTGATAGAAGAGGCTGTTGTCCATCTCTGACTAGAAATATAAAAAGGGAAAGTTATTCATAAACAGGTCTGGTGTTCCAGACTTTGTGATGAAACGTAGAAAATGCGGCATTAAAATTGTCATATGATGTAAGATTGCCATCATGCCTGAGCTTTTAGGCACATCTGCAATCCTGCAGTCAATCTTTGTCTGGTCTATCGTACTTCAACACAGTAATCACGGTCGAACTTATAGAACTTTATTCATAGCCTCAACTTGATCGTTCCTACTTCAAAGTGGATTACGGTTATGCCAGCCTACAGTGGGTGTGGGAACAAGTGTCATTGCGACATTGCTATCGGTTAGACCAATCATCCAGCGAATTTTGGATTCAACTAAACATGTCACAGGCGGTCATAAGTTGAAACAGATCACTCTGTTTTATTTAGAAGAAATAGAGATAGTGACTCAGAGCCCAGCAGGGGAAAAAACCGTCGGACGAAGCAAAACCCTGCGTCAAAAAGCTCGTCCACCACATTAAGACATTCCTTCATAAGCCTTGCCATCATAACCACGAGCCGATCTCTGATCTCGACTACGTACCCAAATGTGTCCACCTCTCCTTGGAATCACCATTTGGTAATTGAGTTGCTGATCGGGGACGGGGCCCACTGACCGGTCGCCTGTCCCTTCGCGTTGTAGCCGAACGTGAAAACGCTAATGCTGGGGACTCCGTAGTCATTTTCCTGGCCGGCGCCGGACGCAAAAACCCTGAGACTGTAAGTGGCTCCCTGACCACCATCACCGTTCCTACGAGCGACTGTGGCTGAGATAGACGAGCCTTCGACGATCGGATACTGGGTCGTACCCTTCTTGCCTAGCGAGCCCTGGTACCACCCATCAACGTTGCTACTATGGCAAACCTCGTTGAGCCTACCACCTTCGTTGACGTAATAAACGCGAATCTGAGAAGCCTGTTAACGAAAGAGGTATTATACGGCTCATTATATGGTTGTCAGCTTACCTGCTTTACTCCGTCGGCTTCCCACGCGATGGCAGCGACTTGCTGGGTCTTCTCACTGACTTCGACATCATCGCTATCAATGTCAATTCTTTTGAAGGAGTAGTCGCCGGTTCCATCGGGTCCAGGAGAAATCAGGTAGCTAAGCTTGCGTTTGGTGTTGACGTAGAACATGTAAGTCCTATCTCCGCTGTCGACGGCGACAATATCCTTGGGAAGCTAAGAGGTAGTGTCAGCAATGACCTCTAAGTGCTTTGACAGATAACATCATACTGTGGGAACAGGCATGGTGGATGGATGTCTACGTTGGTCTGTAGGAAGACAAGTAGTCAAAATATCGTGATGCAAAGGATGTGAGTTCTTGATCTCGAAGAAAAAGGAAGTATCAGTGATGGTCGTTAATGTTGTGAGTGATTTCATTTCTGGTTTGAGGGAAACGTCCAGCTTTATACTTGTTCCGTCGGACAGAATCGTCTCCAAATTCATAGTAGCCTTCTTCGCCATCTTTGCATGTCTGCAACGTACCGGATAGATTCCTCTGTTAGCCTTTTGCAGCGGAGATCAGGTTTCCGAGGCAGGTATGTTGTCCACAGAAAGCCACAGCTAACTGACGGATATACTTGGCCAGTCTCGGGGGAGACGTTGTCTCAGCCTTCGAGGGTCTGGATCTTGTAGAATGAAAGTTTATTCCTCTAAATGGCTGTGGCCGTATGTACAGCTAGCCACAGATCAAGCTATGATCCGATAGTTCTTGGGAGTATCTGTGATATTTGTGATATTTGCTCGAGGGACCTAGTCTAACATAGAAGTGATCAACGAGGAAACTATCACGCTGGCACCATTAGTGACTTGGTCTTAACGTCCCGTCTCAAATCTAGAACAAGCACCCCTTGAGAAAGTAGACATCGAAATAGACTCACATTCATCGGGTATCTTTCCCTAGCGACTAAATGAATGCCACCACATCTTGTTCACATAATGAACACGTCGTCTTGACCAAGTCATTTCCTGATCTTCAGACAGGCGCTACACGGGTTTTCCTTCTAACGTAAAATGTTGTCTTAATCAATGTGGCGACATTAACAGTGTCAGCTCACATTGCCCACACACCTTATCCATGTCTAAGTGAGTATGTTTTGGCATAGTTCAGCCAGCTATGTGCAGTACTCAGCCAGCCCCCTGATCCAACCAACCTCGAACCTTGAACTTCTACAAGCAGAATTCTGACCCGTCACCAGGAGCAGCTGAAGGGTCTCCTTCGTTCACCGGGTTTCGCTCGAAGAGGAATAATCACAGGCCGTGGTTTGAAGGAACTGAGCTGAAGTGAGTCGATTCATGCTGGCTTCACGATCTAGACCATGGGCACTCTACGAAACGCCGTGATGTGAAATTTGGACGACAAGTTGGTGGAGTGGAGAACGCTAACGAGTGACCAGGTAACCACCAAAGACTTCGTCAATCTGATATGGACCATGTGGCGTCGTTTTCCTGCAGCATTCTTCGGACCGGTAGAAACGGCATGATGTGAATATTGTATTGGTGAAGTGGCAACCCTGCTGTTTACGTCGATTGACACGGCGTTGTCATTGGTTAACATGGCATTGACATACGTGCTCGCTAAGAGACATCACTTAGACGCGTATCTTTCTTCGACATGTTAGCTAGCCACACTCAAGCTGTCTTTACCCTTTTGGGAGAATGGTATAGGGTATCATACACAGCCCCAAGAGGGCTTCCAAAAGCCTGCAGCAGAATCGCACGTGTGAAACCAGTCTTACCCTGTACATACAGGCCAGGAACTATCAGTGGCAACACAAATGATGATGGGAAGTCCTTTGGTCGTATTATTATTCCAATTCAGCTCTATTTTCGGTGTCACAAGTAAGAATAATGAATAACTGCAGAGTGGATAAATCAAGACCCGACTCTTTCCCCTCGAAGTAAAACGTCTGAGCGTTGTACTTGGATCGTCACGAAAAAATTGAATTTTATGTTGCAAGTTAATGTGACTGGGGCAATGCTCTTACGCTACGCACTACGGACCAATGCATTCATAACCCAGTTCTGCACAGCGCAAGTGACAGGTCAAAGCTGAGTCATTTCATTACCACAGTGGCTTGTAGCTGGCACGGTCTGATGGAAAAAATACGATAGCTATGCACAGACCAGTCTCGACTTAGCCGGGGCTGGCTGGTAACCTTGAAGAATTCTAGGTTGTTTCACTTGTTGTCTCATTGAGCCAAGGACGCCGTATCCTTGCATTTGACATGGCGTGCCGAGCCGCAGAGCGGGACTAGCGGTGAAAGTTGGGGCGGCCGTTCCATGTCTCACCATAACTGTTTCCGGTCCGTCAGCCCGCCTCAACACAGCCATTTGCCGGTGTGGCGTAGAAAGCTTGTCTGATCAATTCCATCTCCGCCATCAACAAGGGTTTAATTGGTCTTTGAACGATGGCATGAGGCGATCTTGGCGGCGTGGCGAAGTGTGACAGATCGCTGAATTGGATAGTCACCTAACCCTTTGCAGGTACACTACAGATGTCGTAATCTGGCCAATAGTTCGATACTGGTTCAGAGAAAGATCCAGAAGTTGAGACTTACATTTGGAAGGATTGTAGTGAGTCCACTCTCTAGCCTAGCGCTTTACAGTGTGCCTTGACGTCGGCTATGCAGCTCTTGAAGAAGCGAAAGCTGCAGAACAAATGAAGATTCCAGAACCAAACTGTCCTATCAGCTGGCGGCTGTCACGGAATACGTGAATTGGACCCATTGGAATCCAAGCAGTGACAAGATGGAATCTTAGTGCCCATCGGACCTAGAAGGCTCAGGCTTAGATCCTGGTTTAAGGGTCGGTAGACCCTCAAAAAGTCGAGTGGCCGGACCGCAGAAACCAGTGTCAATGTAATCACTACCACATATTGATCATGCCGTTCTCGCATTCGCATGGCTGGGTCTCCGCTGAACGAAATATTGAGCAGGCTACATGGTCAGCTGAGATGGCTGATACGCGGACTGGTCACTTGTTGCCATCTCGTTCCGCGTGAAGGCGAGACACTATAGCATCTCAATAAAATTCCAGGATGAAAGCTGACCTGTGCGCCACAAGGAGGTGAGTATTGCCTCGTAAGACCTCATCACACTATCTTTAAAGACCCTTGTACATGCGCTCATTCCGGACAAGCTGTTCAGCTTTGTCTCGCACAGCCAAACGGCCGATTGTTGCTCTTTACAGCATGGTTTGTTTTAAATAGTCGTTCATTCCAAGATCGCTCAAGCCACGCTCTATGTTGCGGCAGGAAGTTCCTCGTCTAGACCCCGAAACCTAGTCAGGGAGCTATCGATTGTGATAGCCACAAACGGCTTATCACGGGCACTTTGGACTGGCCTAACTGTGAACGAAGCGACGCAGGAAAGGTCCCCCGATGTTGATAGTCTGGCCTCCCATGTTCCGTCTGGCGCTAACCAAGTCTACGTTCAAGCCAACTCTCCTTTCATCACATTTCTATCCTATCGTGGGGGCCGATCTGTGGACCAATACTCTCGTATGGCCGTCAAAGTTCCTCCTGGTTTTCTAATACTTATCTCTGGGAGCTAAACCCCATTTCAATGCGCCCTGAGACTTATCTTACAATCCCAGTGTCGTACGCAAGGGGCTACCATTCCTTTCGGCGCTGTTGAATTAATATACGAACAAGGGTGTAGGCTTGAGCGGCTGTCCAGGAACAGAACTTGGGGGGCTTACCTATATTACAAAGGGACCCATGTAACCTCTAGGATCACATCTCAACCGCCAACTTCTTCACTCATCACACACCGTTCAATCGTGCCATCAATAAATCCCGCTCGCTGCCTTTTCCCCAACCTTTTACCTACTCCGACAGGCTCTCTCATCGATCCAATTGCTGAGATATACGATATTCGCCATGCTGTCCAAGCTTTGTTGGCCTTCTTTCGCCATCATACTTCTGTGGCTCTTGAGCCAGGTCGCGGCTGAGGAGTGTAAGTTTTAATCCTCTGTCCTTGGACACTTCCTTGGGCTGCTATTACCTACATTCCTAACATACGTCAAACAGTATATACCACTGTTCTAGGGAAATCTGAACACGGCTCTCTACTCCATGTCGATGAAAAGACGATGGTCGAATGTGGTGGCCATATCAAACAATGCGGAATTATGGAGGACATGAGAATTATTCTATCGCCTATCAGCACCGTTTATGTAACGCAGAACTTTACTACGACAACAGAGAAGGTCAAACAACTTGATGAGGGATCGCCTTGGGGCTTTTTTCGGGCTAACAAATAATCCAGGTGCTCCCAACTCAGACAGTTGTCAAGAAAAAGGTGAAAGTAGTGACAGTCAACAACCAAACACATGGTACGTGGAAGATTTTCCCCGCATAGGCCCAACTAATACGTGAAACCACAGGTCATTGCCGAAAAACCACAATAGTACCTGACTTGAAGCCCGCAATCATCACAGTGAACGTCACAGTCGAGCATGTCCAAGAGATTGTACCGATCACAACGGTCACCTCCACAGAGATAAGCATTGTCACTGCTACTTCGATCGAACAATGTTTCATCAACAACCCTGAGCCATCTTTCTATCCCACCATTTCAACATCGCAGGATCCGTCATCTGCCATCCCACCATCTTCGCAAGTTCCGTCATCTGCGGCCCTCTCGAGTCAGGATCCCTTGTCAAGCGAAGAGCCTCAGGCCCGTGGGACCGCGATAACGGATGGACAGGGAGAGACGGAGAGTTCAAGATATGAACGCATTTATCAGGATGTTGACGATGTGTCTGAGAATCCCGGAATGAACATCCAGGGTGAATAAGATGCACTGCAATTAGTTCCTACGGTGGGCTTTGCGTCAGCTCTTAGCTATCTGTTCTTAAATCACTTGCTGAATGTAACACTATTGTTCTCTAAATCAAACTTGGGCAACCTGCTGAGGTCTTATGATTCATATTTCGACCGAGCCATATCCTATTATGAACATATGGACACCTATTGGGAAGGGCGACACCTAGGTTTCCGTGATAGCTAGGCTCGCATAAACTGCCTTTCGGCATATATTCGACTGATTTACCGAGACAGTCGATTGCCGTATCCAGGGCTTCTGGCTTCAGCCCCTTTTGCCATTGAGTAAGGTACTTTTAGGCGACTACCTGGAGTGAATATGATGGTTGTTCAAATATAGTTTTCTCGTCTTCCGACTGTTTCGAGTCCAGATGCGTTGATGTCGGTTGGCCCATATTGACAAATATGAAAGAATAGAGCCTACACGGATATCAAGAGATAGGAAAGAATGTCGAAGTGAAAAGAAGTTTTATTCTTATATCGAGTATCTGAATGAGATCGGAATCAGTGTCTCCTGCTTCTGTGAGGAATTTGCACAAGTGATAGCAAGGGTACCTCATAGAGTTTTAAATCAGCATTGCCTTAGGCAGCTGTAGGGCACTGATGCGATTGGCAATCCTCTGCTGGTACCTCAATCTGTTATCGGACACCTTCAGGGGGGCCCCATAATAGATCCGCATTCTACATCCACTCGGCGAGCAGTAGTGTTGAGTGGGGCGGGTCGAACCCCACCTAGATCTAGTCCGAATGAGCTGTAGGGATTTCTTCACGCTCCTCTGACTTTAGGTGTACTTCTGTGGTCGCGTTGTCCATCTGGGAAAGGCTGTGCAACCAATTTTCCAGAGGCTTCAGCAGCCCCAAAACGAAGATTCCAATCAGAACATATCGTAGGATTTGACTGGCAACATGTTCAGAAAGATGGAGCCAGGCGCGCAACATTAGCCTGATTGCATCGCAGACCCATATGATGAGCCCGACGTACAAAATTGCCCAGGTTATATCAGAGACCATTGTGGTATTTGATTTGGTGGTTGAGCTGCAGGGTTGCTATCCTCGTGGTTTCTGGAAGTGGATGAAAAGTAAGGGACAGAAAAAACAGAAAGAGGGAAGGAGGATTGACATTTTATAGAGTAGCTGGAAATAACATTTTGGTTGAGTTGGAATTAAAATTATCCAAAGGTTCTGTGCATGCATCGGCTGTTTTGAGTTTTTTTCAAGCGTAGGCCGTGAGGCATAGAGTTTGGGACAAGACAATGATAGCTGCTTCATGGGGGTCATGTTGCTTGTGAATTGTTCAGATTCGTCAACGGACATACCAACTTATTGTACGACCTACTCACTTTACATCAAAAAATGTAAGGGAATGTTTATTTTGGAGGCAGAATAATGTGTCCCAAAACAGGAAGAAAACCCAATATTTTTTAGTCGTGATAGAACAAATATGACCTGTATCTTCTGAGGTCCTACTCGTTCCCACTAAAGCTTTCCTAGACCTGGAATAATAAACTCAGACCCTTACGAGGACGAGGAATACTTGGTGAATACTGTTTCGATGTTTAGGTGTTTATTTCGCAATTGTTTCTCATCACGCACTATAGGGTAGCTCACTGTGTTTTCCGCCCTGGTCTAGTTTTAAATCAGCTTAGCGACAACTCCCCTGCAGTAGCGATAGCACACTAACCACTCAGACCAATTGAAACTGGTCCACCTTCACCTTTTGGGCATCCTAGTGCCTTGCTAAACCAAGACTATCGATTTTGAGAAATGAGACATTCGCAGCTGAGACAATATCAATGGCTCGTGGCCCAAAAAGCTCCCTCTCCTCTTTTCTGTTTTCTTAACTCTGCACCTTACCTTTCAAATCGTCATAATGCGTTGTGGTTTCTTCCTACTAGGTGTTGGCTTTTATGCCGCTGATTCGGTGATTGCAAGCCCCTGTAAACCGAATACATCAAGTGAGCGGAGGTTGCGCACAATGGAATTACTGCTAACACAGTCTTTCAGCTTCGGAAGCCGCGACGATCACCTCTGATTCAACGGCTGAGGCTACGAGAACCATCTTGGAACTTTCTAGCATCGCCTGGTCTGAACCGACAACGACTGTTGAGCTTACTGCGACTACTGCTACATCTGAAGATGGTACTACGACCATCGCCGCAGCCGAATACACTACCACCCTCATCGAGACATCTGCCGCCACTACCTCGGACGCTGCGACAACTTCAGAGGCTCCTGCTGGAGAACCAACATTTGTTCTGGGTGCCTCAGGTGGCAGCCTCAATGGCGCCCAACCTCAAGGTACTGGTCAACAAGGAACTTTCATCGCCTTCGACGCCACAGCCATCTCTGGTTCAAGCCCTCGGAAATTCACCGTAGACTCTACAGGACGACTCCAGGATGCCGAGACCGCAGCTTACGTCTGTGCATACTACTGGTCGTCTCCCTCGGCTGCCTACCCGCCGTATGTCAGCTATTGTGGAGCTGGCCCCGTTGGTGGAAGCCAATGGCAAGAGTATCTCACCTGCCAAGTCAACAACGGAAATCTTGCATGCACAGCCCCCAGAGTATTTTGTTCAACCGATGCCAACGATGAAAGTACATGTCCGAGAGCGGGAGGGGATCCATATGACACTTTCTTCACTGATAGTGGAAAGTTTTGGTTTATTGGTAGCGGAAGTCCTGCGAACATGTCGCCCGTCAGTGTGTCGGCCCGGAAGCAGCGATGAATGTATTCTGGTCTTTGTATCTTGTAGTCTATAATTACCTGTACAATTTCTCTTCCAGCTTAGCTAGCCTTAATATTTACAGATCACTTGCCAATTCCGTTGTACAGAAAAAGGTTGGGAACACCCTTGGTATCCGTAATCTTATCCTTGATGGCCAACTCCTTAACTCTTGCCCATATCTCAGCAGGCGTACGCGGCCCCTCCAGAGCAAGCAAATAAGCGATGACACCCGCAACATGAGGAGCAGCCTCCGATGTGCCATCCGCAGTTCGTGACCCGGTAGGAGAAGTAGGCCAGGCAGACAAAATCTCCTGACCCGGTGCGAAGATATCGCAAGCAGGACCCCAGTTGGAATGCTGCCATCGCTGGTAGTTCTTGTTGCTAGCAGCCACGGTGATGACGTTGGGGTTATTTGCTGGACTTCCATCTGCTGCATCCTGATTCATGTTTCCTGCGGCTGCAATGACGGGAACACCAGCGTCAATGGCCTTCTGCACTGCATCGTTCATAATATCCGAGGAAGATCCCGACAGGCTCATGTTAATGACAGCCTTGCCAGCACGCTTCTTAGCCACAACGTCATTGACAGTCCAGGCCACACCGGCAAGAACACCGCTGGTGGTACCTGTGTCGTCGCCCAAGACCTGGACATCGACAACAGTGGCCTTTTTAGCAACCCCATATGTGGCGCCATTGACGATGGCGGCGACCAGAGTGCCGTGCTGCTTCTGACTGGCAACGCCTGACGTATCTGCCCCAAAAATTGCGCGACCTTGGAATTCTTCGTGCTCAAGGTAGATACCGCTGTCCAGCACATAAGCGAAAACTCCTTCACCCGCCGTCGAGTCGTAAGTATAAGAGGCGCTTGAAGATGGGGGTTTGGCGTTGGAAATAGCCGAAAGGCCCCATGGTGGGCTTTGTTGAGTGACTTGTGCAGTCACAGTGTATTCTTGCTCAGGTTCCACGCGCATAACCTGTGTCACAGTTATTAATCAATCCATCATGTCGAAAAGATGTATGCTTACGGTGGAATTGGCCTTGATGATCTTAATAGTCTCCTCATCAAATGAACCCGAGTAACCCTTGAAACCGGGGAAACTGAAGGTCTTGTCAATTCCAGCAGACTCAACACCGCGACGGGTCAAAGCTTCTCTGTTGACGTCGGAGACCCATCGAGCGTGGAGGTCAAGATCGTCAGTAGGCTTGAGCGCTACGACGAATTTGCCAGGCACGACATTCTTGTCTGCGGGGAGAGCGGCGACGATAGCGGCCAGGCTGAGCAAGAGAAACTTCATGTTGGCAACTTAGGGAAATAAAGCTGTAAAGGGCCGAAGAATTGATGGTGATACAGTCGTGTTTATATATTTATAGATACGCGGTTTTCGATTTATTCATTTCATTGGCATGAGGGATCGTCACTCCCATTTGCCGTTATAGTACAGACCTCCGTTTTCAACCTCGTATGTTAATCCTTGCAGTCACAGCCAAGACTCTGTACGTTCCTTGTCACCTTCCACTTCGGTATCAATATCCCTACTGTGTTAGCATACTAGCGCATTGCGATATACGACGACTCAAGCCGCTAGTGCACGAAAGTTGAAGAACTCCAGCTCGAGCTTTGCAATGGACCAGAGTCGCTCGGAACCTTTCTTACCTGTAGCCATTCTAATACGGGTGCAGGTCGGATGCTAAGTCCCAGGATCGTCGATCCGAACGATTCAGAGAAGAAGCTCGACAACAACCGATTTTCTCAGCGAATAACCGAGATGAAGGAAGCCGAAATACAGGCCTATGAACCCATTGTCAAGACGATCAATTCATTAGCGTCTTTTCCTTAACTATAAGAAAGCCATTGAGTAGTGAGTTGTACCTGTCATGCAGCTAGGCTAGGAATAATATGTTGAATGATGAAGAGGCTTTGAGATAAAGAAACCTGGTAAGTGAAGTTCTATATAAACTTACTACCGTAGTTCTATATCTACAGGTTTTGTTTTCCCAATAGTAAACTTGTGCACTGCATTATCAACCAAATCCGAAGGATAACCTACTTGCCCAACGTACACATAATGATCATTAACTTTCCGTATTGAACAAACACTTTTATATCCCGCCAAGAGGACTATTTGATCCCCAGGAAGTGCAGGTTCGGAAACAACAGCAAATTCTCTGTTTTTCGTAAAAGCTACTCGAGTGGCAGTTTTCAAGAAGTGCATGTCCATCACTCTTGAGTGAGTCTCGTCGACCGTGATCGGGCGGAATAATTCTGGAATCAGCCCGAACAAGATCTTGGTACCTACTTCCAAATCAAGTTTCATGGCTTTTAATTCCTGACAGAAGATGTGGTCCGCGAATGTGCCTCCATAGATTGCGTCCACATCCCAGGCATTCGGATTAGTAGCATCCCGGGCTTGGGGTAAATAGAATTGCAGTATTCTTGCAATTCAGAGTACACTTGCACCATCCCAATCTGAACTTGTAATCCTGGTTTGGTAGAAAGCACTCGTAAGCTTCAAAAATGGGTGGCAGTCGTTGCAGAATGAGTCTTTAGAATCCTGAAAGGCGCGGTCTAGCATTTTAAAAATCGATAAAACGTATTCCAGAAGAGATCTCTTATCGCCGTAAGAGGGACGAGGTTCACTGACATCATCGACCGAGTCGATCAGGAGTGAGGAAAGGAAGAGGCTGTGGTTTTGAATGAAAGTTTTGTCGGAGTGTCCTGTAAATTCACTCCAAGTCTGAACTGTATCCAAATCAGAGAAAGACTTGATCATCGCAAAATCCTTTTCTGTACCGCCGATGGGGAGATTTGGCACCCACGAGGGCAAATTATGATGCCCAGGGTTCCCGTTTGCGAGTCCGCTCTTATTGAGGAATTTCAGAGGATCAGAATAGTTATGTTCCATTTGCTTGGCACAAAATTCGACATAAACAGAGGCGACAGCTACAGTAGTTTCATACCGTGGGACAATTTCTAGACCAGAAATGCCCAACAGGGCGTAGACATAGTCTTTCGGGTTAGTTGCTTGTAAATGCATAGCGTAATGGCCTAATTGTCGAATTGTGGGGGTGTTCCTTTTTCTGTCACTCGTCTGCGTTCGATACTGATAGAGGACATTTCGTACAAGACGGGTGACTCTCACTGCTCGATATGCTAGTGATAGAATAAAGTACCAAGTCAACGGGTGAATTATGCTGGGTTTTGGCCCTGCTGATATGTTGCTTGCCCACTCAGATATCTTGGCGAAATTTTCGAACTCGATGCAGCGGTCTTTGTAAAAGAGAATCGTTTTCCTAGACAGAACAAGCTCCTGAAATATCCAAGCACGTTTCCAGTAAGCTAGCGATTTGAGAAGTGAAGCATATTCTGTCAATTGAGAATTCCATGATGGTAGAGCTATACCAATTTCGGGAACCTCTGGATGAGGTAGCTCGGATTTTGCTGGGTCTAGGGGCAAGTCTTCGAATAATTTCAAGATGATACTGTCGTTCCCTTGTTTGGTGCTGTAATCGCCGTTTTCTAGGCGGGATGCGATAACAGAGAAACAATCAAGGGCAGAGCAGAGATCCGAAGTCGATGGCGAAGATCCTAGGAAGGAGAAAGTCATTGCGGCGGCGGAATAAATGTCCTTCATTAAGGGAACCTGGTGGTTCTTCTCGATGTCGTCGCTTTGGTTAATGCAGATTGCATCGACCCATAGTCGCAATTCTGGAACACCCTGGCCTCGCGATACCTCTTGGACATCGGTAAGCGCCTCTACAAGGTTATTTGTAACCGAAACGCGAGTATCATTCACCCAAACCTCTCGCTGGTTCATTGGATCACCCCAAACATAAGTTAGAGCGCAGAATGCAGTGTCGTCATTGAGAGAACTGGTACTGAGTCGGCAAGAGATCCTCGGAGATGTCGTTGTAATCTGGAGGAGCCTGATCTGCTTCTTAGAAGGATCAAGGCGAGTGTAGAGTAGATTGGGATCCATGTTGAGAACCGAAATGCGAGCCTTCGAGTTAAGATGTTGTAATAGCGCGAGAGATGTGCGAGATTGTAGTAGTCTGGTTCGCTTGTAAATGGTAGAAGTATCACTTGAGCCTAGCCGCAGCGAACGATTTAATATACCTAGACACAATTTGCAATCATGAAAATTGGTGCCTGTATTGATTAATTGGTCCGTTATTGGTAAAATAAGGACCCCACACTCCACTCATACACTGGCCAGGCGCTACAATGTTAAATCTGGTTGGTTACAACCTGGCAGATTTGTGGTGCGATTGCTGGCCTCAATCTGGCCTCCATCAGGCCTCAATAGGCGTGCCAACCATATCCAGACCTCCACCTGCCAAGTACGCAGGGATATGACTCTCAGGTGTATATTCCGCTTGGACCTCCTACCGGGATCACACTGGCCTGTCAAAGCGCCAGTCACCAAGTCACAAAGCTGAACATGCATCTCAACCTGACTAGTGAGTGTCTCGCTCGTGCAGTAGTCCAGATACTCAAGGCTTCCAGCAGCAGTAATCAAGACACATTCCTACACATATCAGTCTCTGAAGGAAGTAGATATAAGTCTTTCGGAGATGGTACTGGAGACTGAAGTCAATTCTTTCATCAAGTATTGAAATGAACATGGCAGATGGTCCCGAGACTGTTTCAATATCGAGCTGGGATATATTTCACATAGTGACAAGTCCGGGCGAATGACTATCACTGGAAGTGATGCAGGAGACGGTCTACCTATTAACAAAAACAACAGCCAGACTACAGAGCTAAAAACAGAGCACTGTTAGTAGACTGATAGGTAGCTAGGGCCTATAGTTTATTCCTAAACCATATCATAAACTTAAATCTTAGCGCCGGCTATCAATCAGGCACCAGATATGCCAAGGGCTGCAATATTTCAGCCGGTCAGACCATCTGAGTCGGGGGCTAATCTTGGCTGAAGTACTCCATTCGCCTAGTTCTGGCTTTCTGATAGAATACTGGTGAGACATCTCATCTGTCCCCTACTGTTATTTCATTAGATCCTTCAGAAATTCCTCCAGCAAGTCTTCTCTCCACAGGCTATAATGTGTTTCATCCGGATACTCCTTGTAAATCGACTTCGGCAACCTCTCCGCCATATACTGTCCCATCTCAGGCGGCGTATTCTCATCATCGGACCCATACCACAACTGAACACCTTCATAGTCAATATCTTCCACTCGAAATCCCCAAGGCTGAGTATTAAGTTTCATCTCAAGGCCATGCCCAGCGCCTCCCTGAGCATAGACCTGTCTGAAGACCCTGACTGCTGATTGAAAAGCGCTCGGCCTTTCCAAAATCTTTTGGTCGGCTGGCGCGAAGCCTCTGATCTGTTCTTTCCAGACGTTCTCCATTTTGGCTGGGTCAGGGTCTTGAGCTGCGGCGAGGAAGATGCTTTCCAAGTACTCGACAAATTCCTGATTTTGGTCTTTCCAAATCATCATTATCTTCTGCATCGTTTCGCTTTGTCCTGCCAGTCCTGCTTCCCAAGGCCCGACACCGGCGCATATACCGACCCCTTTTAGATTATCTCGAGGTAGTGCTTGGGCGCAAGCAAGGGTATAGCCAGTGCCGCCACTTGTTCCGATGATATGATACGTGCTGAGGCTTAGATGCTCTATCAGGGCTTTCAAATCCGCTGGAAAGTCTAGAATTTTCCGGTCTGGGTAGAATGTTGAGTGGCCGATTCCTGGTCGATCTGGGGCAACCCAGCGAGTACCTAGCCGCTGCGCCAGGGTGTCCTCGAACCCAGAAAGTGTGATTCCTGAGTCGGGAGTCCCATGGATGTAGATCAACGGCGTCCCATTTGGGTCGCCGAATTCATGATAGCCAAGACGTCTGCCATCTGGTAGGTCGATCGACTTGCCCACGGCTGTTGAGATGGGTCTCCATTTGGTTTTGAAGGATTTTACATATCGAGATGCCGGCCTAGTCGTTGTGACTCGAAGTGAAGCAAACAGCGTCGCACGGGCCGGAACCATCGTCATTACGGATTTTTGAAGGATTTAGATGAGTCAAACGGAGAGTTGAATCCTTCGTTGGGGGCCATATGACGATGTTGCTTACATATCACGTGTTGCGACCACAATAATGATCGACGAAGGATTCCATGGCGGGGAAGCTATCTGCCGGGAGGGGCTTGGAGGGGTAACCTCATTACTGTTTCTATAAATTAGCTTCACCTGCCGTTAAGACCGGGCTTGTTGTCCCGGACACACCCTGAATATTCCACCTCAATTATCACTGCCCTAACAAGAATTCCATTGTTCAACATGGTCCAAAGAATTGACATTGACCAGGGCTGGGAGTTCAAGCAGTCCAGCGACTTGAACGATGGCACCGCCTCATCCTACCTCCCCGTCGCACAATTCCCTACGGTCGCGCATATTGACTTGCTACATCACAAGCTCATTCCTGATCCATACATTGATATCAACGAGTTGGAATGTCTTTGGGTCAACGACGCAGACTGGACCTACCACACCGAGAAAATCTCTCCAGTTGCCCTCAAAGATTCTGAGCGAGCAGCCCTCGTTTTTGAGGGTCTAGACACTGTTGTTGATGTCTATCTTAACGACAAACATATTCTATCCGGCAACAATATGCACATCACTCAGCGAGTGGACGTCACCGACCTTCTGCGTGGCAGAGAAGAGGCTTCTGTTCTTGAGTTGAGATTCAGAGCTGCCCCAGCATACGCGCGCTCTGAGATGGATAGAATTGGATACAAGAGACTGCCAACTGGTCGTGCTGTCAACTTTGGAGGACCAGAAAGGCTGTTTGTTCGAAAGGCTCAGTATCACTGGGGTTGGGACTGGGGTCCGGCAATCAACACGTCTGGACCGTGGAAACCGATTTATCTTGAGGTGTATGAGTCGCGTATTTCCCAGTTCTTGGTGAGCCAGAATGTCGCAGAGGATCTGTCTTCGGTGGAGGTGACTGTAAAGGGCATGGTTGAGAACCCGAATGGCGTTGGCCAGGTTTCTGTTCAACTTAGAGATCCCTCAACGAACGATGAACCCGTGGAAACCGACGTAAGGGTATCGTCTGACGGGTCCTTCGAGTGCCAGGTCAAGGTGGACAACCCGAAGCTGTGGTATCCGTTCATGTACGGAGAGCAACATCTGTACACCATCAAGGCGACTATCCCAGGACATGACGTTAGCAAAAGAATCGGAATACGACGTCTTCGCCTTTTACAAGAGCCTTTCAAAGACCAACCAGGGACCTCGTTTATCTTCGAAGTCAACAACATTCGGCTTTTCTGCGGAGGGTCGTGCTGGATCCCCGCTGACTTTATGCTCCCGAGAGTTGGTCAATGGACACGCAAAAATTGGTTCCGTCTTATGAAAGAAGGCAACCAAACCATGGTTCGCGTCTGGGGCGGTGGGATTGTCGAAGACGACATGTTTTACGACATCGCCGACCAAGAAGGGATCTTGGTATGGCAGGACTTCTTGTTTGCTTGTGGCAATTATCCTGCTTCACCAGACTTTGTCGCGAATGTTAAGAATGAAGTCGAACAGCAAGTTGAGCGCGTGGGGCATCATGCTTCGCTGGTACTTTGGTGTGGAAATAACGAGGATTATATGTGTGCTGATCAGGACCGCTGTTGGGATGTTGATTACAGTAATACGACTGGTCCGTGGGATAAGACCACGTTCCCTGCTCGCGAGATTTATGAGAGGACTCTACCTGGTGTCATTGCTGCTTCTGGGACGGATGTTCCATATTGGATCAGCTCACCGTACGGCGGTAAAGAGTCTAACGATCCTACCGTGGGTGACACCCATTGCTGGGATGTCTGGCACGGAAAGCTATCACCATACCAGGATTACAAGACATACAAATCGCGCTTCATTTCCGAATTCGGCTTTGAGTCAGCACCTAGTCTAAACACTCTTGAACGCACAATTACCGATCCGAAAGAACGACACTCCCAATCCCGAACCTTCGACGCTCATGACAAAGGTCCAGGTCATGCAAGACGGTACCCCATGTACATGGGGGAGAACTATCGTTTCAGGATGAACCCTCTGAAGGACTTCGTCTATTGTTCACAGTTCCTTCAAGCAGAAGCATTGGCATACGCTTATAACCTCTGGCGAAGAGAGTTTCGAGGACCTGGGCAGGAGTATTGTGCTGGTGCGTTAGTTTGGCAAATGAATGACATCTGGCCGGGAAGTAGTTGGGCTCTTGTTGATGTCTATCAGAGGCCGAAACCTGCTTATTACGTGACGAGGAGAGCTCTAGCAAAGACTGTTCTTGGAATGGAGCGCGTTGTCACTGAGAAACCGCCGTATATCACGACAGGGTATCTTGACGAGAAGAGCAAGTTGGATGTGTGGGCTGTCAATGGGGAGCTTGAGGATCGCAAGGTGATCTTGGAATTGAAGGCTTTCGATATTGAGAGCGGGAAGCAGATCGAGCTGGCGAACGATTACCAGAAGGATTGGGTGCTCAAAGCCAACCAGACGACAGAGCTTCTCGCAAACATCGACATCCCAAACCACAGAGAAACCGTCATCGCAGGTTATCTAACCGACCCAACTGGCAAAGACTTCCTCGAGGAACGACTGGCAAGATGGATAAGCTGGCCTGAACCACTAAAATACATGCGCCCATGTCCCAACCTCAAAATCACGACCAGGTCGTGGGGTCACGGCTCCAGAGTCATCCTCAATACAAATGCACCAGTCAAAGGCGTTATAGTCAGCGGCAAATACGGGGGTGCTGGAGCGAAAACCTCGTCACGCCCTCCCTGGGACGTTACATTTTATGATAACTTTATCGACCTGGTACCTGGAGAAGAGGTTTACGTTAAAGTGAGGGGTGTGATATGGAAGGAGAAACCTATCACTGTTAGGTTTCTGTATGATTGGGAGCTAGAACCTGGGTTTGAGTTGTAGGGAAACTTGCACACAGTGAGAAGACGGAGGGAACTTCGGGGGCGGGACGGGTATTTTGAAGGATTGGGTTTGAAATATGCCGGGCAATGACGCTTTCGAGCTCTTTTAGTGGTCGCCATCGGAGTTTGTGCAACGTGGAAAGCTGACTGCATTGACTTTGTCCTTATCGCTGACGAGTCATGAGTGTCTGCTGCATTGTCGGCCGCACAATACCGGTAGAGCGAAATGATGGGGTCTGTATGTAAGATTCTCAGACGTCACATGTGACAATTAAAGACGGCAGTGATGACTTATCCTTCGGTTTATCTTCAATCTCTGCCTTCGAATGACATCGCGAAAAGGCCATGATGCCATTCATCATCTGCAATGCCGTAGTTCCGAAAGGCGACGCACTGGCGAGAAGAAAGAAAAACCACAACAGTCATCAAGTATAAATAGCAGCCTTGCATTTGCTTGAGACTATTCCTCAGAACATTCAAACCATCATTACCTACATTACAACACGAAGACTGAGTGCTGGGTCTACGGTGACAAACAGCGGCGAGCATTCCGAGCATGAGAGGGTACCTTCAGACCGTTCAGATTAGCAAATTGAGTTTCACTACTCGGAATGTTATTCCGAAAATCCTACTCTTTTAAGTTCCCTGTTTTTCCAGAATCCTTCCCGAAGCACGCGAAGGAAGCGGCTCGGGAATGGCACAAAACTTTAACCCTAATTCCGGCACTCGTTCTCCACCCGAGGTCCATCGATGACGACAACAAAGAGCACTGACCATGAGGAGATCATACAAAAACTTGAAGTTATCCGCATCTCAATTGAAGCATCAATTCTGTTCCATAAACCGTGTTTAAGCCTCCATTATGTCGAACCAAGGTCACTGTAACTGCGAGAGTATTAAGGTGGAGTTGGCGGCTGAGTTGCAGAAGGACACCCTTTCGTGCTTCTGGTTAGTGCTTACCCCGGTCTGTCGGTGTGCAAATTACTAGATATTGACGTATTCTATAGCTCAAACTGTCAGCGTGCAGGCGGATGTATGCCAAGCTCATAACTGCAATACCGCTCAATCAGCTGACATAAACAGTGTTCGCGCCCAACTACGTCGTCGATGAAGACAAGGCCAAAATCACCGACTCGAGTGGCACATTGAAGACTTTCACCGCAACAGCAGATTCAGGCAACAAGGTTCAGGTTTGTACAAATCATAGGACTTGATACGATAGGTTTACTGACACCACTCGTAGCGCTCCTTCTGTGGTGACTGCGGCAGTCCGGTTGTTACGCGTACACCAAAGTACCCTGGAAAGGCAATTATCAAGGCTTCTCTTTTTGATCAGATTGCTGCTCCTACTGGTGAGGCGTTTACGAAGAGACGACCTGAGTGGCAGAAGCCTGTTGATGGAGCTCAGCAGCTGTGATATCTAAATGAGCAGAGTTGAATCAACTGGTAGATTTGATCATAATAATGAAGCTATTGACGTCAATCGACATCGCTTACAATCTGAACCAAGGATGTTTCGTTCAAGTCGATTTTGTCATGTACTCTCAAATTACATAGCCAATGACTTTGATACAAAACCATCGTCCTCAATAGATTTTCATCAACGATGATCGTGACAGCCCGCTACTTCCTTGTGTATGTTTGTGTTCGAATCTTATTCATCAAAACTACCCTGTAGATCTCCACGAAGACCCCAGCAGATCTCATTCCAGCATTACACTCCGCTCCATTAGAAGATGTCAACTGCCAGAAAGGCTAATTCAACCTCCTGTCACTTAATGTTTCTTCAAAGTATTCTACACTATGTTCTTCCGGAAAATGGGGTAGACTCACCGAGTATTCGCACAGCTGGACTATCATATGATGACGTCTCCGAGCTATTAGCCTGATTGAATTGCCATGAAATGAGTTTTTGCTTCTTTCAATACAATTGTAATGCATTATACAAATCGACATGTAATATCCGTATTGCCGTAGTAGTATTATTTGTAAATAATTGATGATCATATTACCCGGTTCCCAAGACCGACAGAGCATGATCGGATCTTGTCCTAATTCGGCAACCGGAGCGTCACGCTCCGCGCCGATCGGCATTGACCGCCAGGCACTGCGACGCGTCTATTGCAGACAAGCTTCCGGGCCTCAATGGGACAGATGATTTCATTTGCGGGGAACTCCTATTAGGCTGTTGATTTAAGCGGTACTTGGCCGGCCCTCGGCTCATGACAGCTCCAGGTTATTATCGTAAAGATGGGGTCATGCAAGGAACATGGGGAAATAAACAGCCTGTTTATCGACTCACTTCTGTTTTGCCAAGCCGGTTAATAACCCTTGTCCATATCCCCAAGTTCTATGCGTCTGGGGTATAGCGACATGTGAAACGACTAGAACATGTTTAATTTAGCCGATGGGTACGAAGGAAATTGCCACGGAGTCATGAGAGTCATGATATATAATGCAGCTTCGCATCTTGTAAATACTCTCTTCTTCTTAGCAGGCAAGTCTTGTTTCTCAAACTTCCAGTTGCAAAGATGCGTTTCAGTGTCCTTCCCGTGGCCTTGGCCCTTTTCAACGGTCTGGCTGTTGCCAACCCCGTTCCGTAAGTCATCTACTCTCGATCATGGTTAGACGAAGTTACTGACGTACTCAGTGATGTCGAAGCTCGTCAAGCTGCTGGCCTTCACAATGCCATGAAGGCTGCCGGCAAGAAGTACTTCGGTACCGCCGTCACTGTCCGCAGTGACTCCCAAGAGAACGCCGTTCTCAACACCAAGGGCGAATTCGGCTCTCTCACCCCTGAGAACGCCATGAAGTGGGAGGCCATCCAGCCCAACCGCGGCCAATTCAACTGGGGACCCGCTGACCAGCACGCCAACGCCGCTACCTCTCGCGGCATGGAGCTCCGCTGCCACACCCTTGTTTGGCACAGCCAGCTTCCCAGCTGGGTTGCCAACGGCAACTGGAACAACCAGACCCTGCAGGCGGTCATGCGCGACCACATCAATGCTGTCATGGGCCGCTACAAGGGCAAGTGCACACACTGGGATGTCGTCAACGAGGCTCTCAACGAGGACGGAACTTACCGTGACAGCGTCTTCTACCGTGTCATTGGTGAAGCTTTCATTCCTATTGCTTTCCGCATGGCTCTTGCTGCCGACCCCACCACCAAGCTCTACTACAACGACTACAACCTCGAGTACGGTGGTGCTAAGACCCAGGGTGCTATTCGCATCACCAAGCTGATCCAGTCCTACGGTCTTCGCATTGATGGTGTCGGTCTCCAGGCTCACATGACCAGCGAGAGCACTCCTACTCAGAACACACCTACTCCTTCTCGCGCCAAGCTCGCCGAGGTTCTCAACAGCTTCACCAAGCTCAACGTTGATGTTGCTTACACTGAGCTTGACATCCGCATGAACACTCCTGCTAACCAGCAGAAGCTCCAGACCAATGCTGCTGCTTACTCTCGCATGGTTGGCTCTTGCATGGATGTTAAGCGATGTGTTGGTATCACTGTCTGGGGTATTTCCGACAAGTACTCTTGGGTCCCTAGCACTTTCCCTGGTGAGGGCTCTGCTCTACTCTGGAACGACAACTACCAGAAGAAGCCCTCTTACACTTCTTCCCTGAACACCATTCGTGGTCAGAAGTAGATAAGCATTAGAATATAGCTTTATTCATGTAAATAGCTTTATATCGAAATACATATCAGTTGCAAAGTATGTATTTTAATATAAAATAGTTACCTAAACGCCTAGCTACTAACTAAATTTTCCCCTTTTAATATTAGCAAAGAAATATAAGATAAATCTTTTATAGTCCCTTATATTAACTTAAAAAGGTTAATAACCTTATATACCTAATTAATATCCTTACTAAAGGTCCTTCTTTTACTTTTATCTATAGTAACCTTAAACTAAGTTACTTATTTTAAAGCTCTTTTCTTTTAAGCTTTTATATAAAAAATAATTAAAATAAGAAATATTTTATAAGTAAATAGGTATAGCTATATATAAAAGATTACTTTTAAAATATTAAAAAGATTATTTTTTAAATTTTTTAAAAACTTTTACTTTTTAAGCTAATTTATAGCTTTTTAAAAAAAGATTATTAAAAAGATAATTAATACTTTAAAAATAATAACTATAGCCTTATAGTAATTAAAACTTTTAAGGAATTTAATAACTATAAAGATAGGTATTATTATAATTAAAGTTTATTATATATTAGATTTTTACTTTAAATTAATAAGAACTTATTAACCTTATATAGTTATAGTATTATTAATAATAAATAAAAGAGAAAAAAATCTAAATTAAAGTAAATAAAAAGGTATTTATATTATACCTAAACCTTATTTATAGAGTAAAGTAAAAAAAAAGGTTATATATAGGTAAAGGAGTTGTAATACCCTTTGCAAAGTGTAAATATTAAGAAAAACCTTATCTAATCCTTACATATCAGTTGTATCTTAACTGTACATTAATGACCTCTGTACGGTGATCGACTTCGCACAGGGACACTTGGTGTAGACCCATTTCCCAAGAATTCATCGCGTGCCTTCTCAATTTCCAAAACCAAGCCCAACAAAAACCTTCGGCTCTTCGAGGTTGCCTTATCTGTATCACGCCTCAGGACGTGTAACGGTGTCCAGCTATCGTGAATCGACGACCTGTCATTGATAGGCATCCTTGGGTCTGCTCCCTTGTCGATCAGAGACAGCACAAGGTCTTGCAACTTGACGTGGAAGGCTTCGACGTTCTCTGGATGTCGGTGAGCAGATTCAATGGTGTCAATTTCGCCAGTTATGAAGGCGTTGTTGATCTGATCGCAAACGTAGAATAATAGTGATTCGCCTTTGTCTCCGACAGCAGAGTTGATATCTGCGCCAAGGTCGATCTGTCGGTCTAGGACCAGAAGAGGGAGGGTTACGTAGTGCTGTGAAAAGTAGAGACAGTTCAGATCGTTGAAGGACCTGTATAGTAATCTGTCCCTCTCTTCTTGAGTTCTTATACCAGCAGCGATGAGGCTCCTAGCTTCTGATTCTAGCTCGAAACTGTGCTGCAACCATGCGTAGCTGTGACCATGTACCTAAGCCCTGTTAGCATCTGGGATATCTTACCGTGACAGTTGACGTACCTCGTCCAATTTGTCCCATAGTCGCTGTACAGCGTCCCGCCACATTGGCACATTATCTGGGTGATCGGTATGACGTTGAGGCGGTGGGAACTTCATAACTATAGAGTCAAAAGGCAAGTTGACAACAATAGTATCGGCTCTGCTAATACCACTTCCTTGAGCTATCAGATATTTGATAGTATCCAGGAACTGCGGTTCTTGCAGCTGAGCAATACCCCATTTCCAAAATAGCACCTCGACAATGGATCGCGGTATACAATAGTCTTCAGTCGAAACGTTAAGCCACATGGTAGAACCAAAGTACCTCTTCCCCGGAGATTCGTTAACCTGAATGTCTGCACCGTTGCTGATAAAGTATTTGATCCCGGCTATAGGGTCTAGTTCCGTCTTGGTGGGGAAGTCTGGGATGGCCTCCAAATATGCCATAAGTGGGGTGATGTTAAAGTGATCGATCCTTTTCCGGGCTGATTCCGTGGCTGGTGACTTTTGATTAATATCGGCCCCGTGATGCAAGCATAGATCCAGCATCTTTGTAGACCCAGACCTTGCCATATATCTTGCCGCTGCAAAGATAGGGACGTGGCACGGTCGCCGACACTTGATACGTGTCATTTTATCTTTGTAGTACTCTACAACAAAGGTGGTCTGAAGCGGTTGCTCCTCAACTACTCCGTTGATATCAGCACCCTTCTCCATCAGCATGTTGACGATATCGCTCTTGCCGAGGTCGATCGCCGATGATAGCGGAGTCTCATAGGTCGTCCTATGAAGTGTCATTTCGCTCGGATTCTGAACTATCGACCTCAGTATACCGACGGGTGCACCGGCCTTGACAAAGTCGCCAAAAGTCCGGCTGTAAACCTTGGTATTGAGTACCCAATGGCCGAGATTTGCCCTCGTTAGCGCCTCCAGCATCTTCGGTGGCTTCTCACCAATGCTTTTGAGAAGATGATTCGAAATACCTATCCTGTCTTTGTTTCCCAAAACCTCGAAAGTAGCGCCCATTTCGAGCAAAGCATCCAAAGCTTTCGCACGGTTCAATCCTATCACAATGCGTAGTGTGGAATCAGGTCCAAGTTGGAATCGTGGCCAATTGCTGGGCTTTGATTCGGACCTTACCAAACGGCGGGACTCTATTCCCATTACAAAATTTGGGTCGCCGTCGCGTGCTATAGCGGCACGAAGAACTTCCACGTCGCCCCGTTTGCACGCCCATACCTTGGTACGATTGAATACAGCGGTTTGGCCAAATAAATGATTGTCAAGACGATGGGACATCCTCGCGTTGGATTTCCACAGGTTGACTGCTGCCTCCGTAGGTAATCTGACAAGAATTTCGTCCAGCAGCTCTGTTGGCAGTGTTTCCAAAGGGCTGGACATGGTGAGGAACGATGATGAAGACTTAGGGATAAGATTAAAAAGTTGAAAAGTTGAAAAATATCTCACTGAACGAGATGCTGCCTAAATCGCCAAGTAATTATTCATCTACGGCTGACTCACCTCGCGATTTCATGCATGTAAGTGGGGATAGAATCAAAATGTCAGCACAGCCCCGATCTCGATGTCGTTCTACCGCACTCCACTATTTACATCCCTCAACATTTGACCAGCTTCTCGAGTGAATGTGTGCCAGTAACCACCCTCTGGTTCTAGCCCACCCAGAATCACAAACAGCTCCATCAAGTCATCAGCAGAACCTGGTTGCTGTGTCGCGGCTATGGTGTTGATGGCTGTAGCCAGTGGCCAAGCAAGAAATGTAGCTTGGAGACTAACCAGACTACCCTGAAAAGTTTGTTAGAAGTGAAACAAGTTCTGAGAGGATACATAGGGAATTGTAGACTCACTTCCATCAGACGAGCTTCCCAGCTTTCTTTTAGAATCGTAAAGATGCTCATGGCAGTATCGTGGGGATGTGGAACCTTCTCCATGGCCGTTTCAGACACCTCTTGACTCTTAAGCGTTCTGTTGTGTAGAATAATCTTTATCGCACCCATGTTAAGATTCGTGGTCAATGCAATGGGGTCCCGCGATAGCATGTCTTGAACAAGGATCCCCTGCATGACGTGCATTCTGTGGCGATAGCACTCCTCCAGGACATTCTGGCCTTCATTTGAGTCGTCCTTTTTGTTAAGGCACTTCATAGCAAGATCGACCATCAATAAGCACGCACAAAAGGGGGATACTCCGATCGTTAGCCTGTCGGCTTCAGCGAGGAACGGCATATTCGCAGGACTGAACTCTGGACCAAGCCGACCTGGGGAAGGCAGCTTGACGTGGAAAGACTGGTCTGTTGTTAGTTATGGAATGGAAAACCTTCCCGACTTCTACATAGCTTACAGAAACTGGCCCTAGTTGGGACTCCATTCCCGATCGTGTCTTGATATAGGTCTCCCAGACGAACAGTAACCAGAACGAACGTCTTCTCTCTTCAAGTAAGCATTGATCGTCGGTAACAGGTAGAGAAATGTGCAGCCCAGGAACAGCATCATCATGTCCAACCGAGCTGTCCATCCTATGCAGCCTCAACACGCTCGAAAGTCTAATTGCACGTCCTAGAGTCATCCAAGCCCTTGTAATATTACTCGACATGAGCTCGTACCGCACGAGGAACAAAAGTGCCTGGAAGACGTTCAAGTTTGAGAAAGCGGTGGTATCAGGGTCCATCTCGCAGTCTTCTATCTGGCGGCGAACTAAAGCATAAAGCTCTTGGCTCAGGTGTTGAGACCGGATGGATACAGCTGTGCTGAGTAATGCGACGGAGTATTTCAGAGCGGTAATTGACTTTGAGGGATGGTCTGTTGACAGCTCGGAGAGGAAACGGGTTTCGCAAATGATAGGCATGGAATTGTAGACGTATTTGAAGAAATACCGATACCTGGAAAGCAGTGAGCCTTGGAACTTTGATCGTGGGACGGCTCACATACAGTTCAGGGAGAAGATTTCCCAGTGATGGCTCTGGCTGACTTGAGTGGCTACTTAGCGGTGCCTTCTCCTGGGTAAATGGCGTCATTATATCAGCCATTGGAATCGTTCCGGATACTTCAAGCCCTGAATCAGACGGCCATTCATTGATCAAGAGACTCGGATCGATATCGTTTACAGACTGCAGTAAAGTGTCAATTGGAGCTTCCCAGCACAGCTTTTGTTCCGGGTCGAGCTGGAGCAGTTCATCAAAGCCAAGCTCCAAAGTCTCGAACGTGGTGTCGTCGACCACCGGAACCGACCTTGACTCGCTATCAGAATGAGGGGTAAGAACGTTGCTGTCGACACTGTCTTGAAGCAATGGCATCAGTAAAGGCAGTCTGGTACCTGAGCATGTGTGCGCAGCGTCGTGCCTTCTCGTGCCCAATTGAACTTCAGCTCTTTCTGTAATGCTTTAGTCTTCGTACCACCTGATTGAGCATCATACATACCTAGTCTTGCTTGCAGATCTTGTACTTGCCGACTCAAGTTAGCACCAGCTGGAAACGTGTCGTAACTGCATGGTTCATGGAGACGTATGCACCGGCCACAATTTGGCTGAGCGCGGTCGCACTTGACTTTTCGGTCTCTGCAAGTCACGCAAGCCTGTCTAGTTCTTCTAGAGCCCATGATTTGAGCGGCTTTGGGCAAGATGATGTAATCTGGCCGAGGGGATATGAAGATGATAATGGCGTAAGTGTAAAAGGAAGTTTGTGGCTGCAGTTTCTTCATGCAAGTTGGTGATTGGCACGCTTATCTCACGTGATGATATGGTTGACAGATGTTTGAGGGAACGGGGAAGTTTTGTTTCAAGTTTGTGTAGTCACGAATTTTTAATTTATTCTCTAAACTCATCTATCCGGCTTAGAACATTCACCACTATAATCCTTCTGGCTATCCCACCTGTCCCACCATTATTTGTGCTCCAAACAGATGTCCCAAACCCTCTCCAGACTCCCCCTTCCGCTGTCTTTCAATCGACCTGGCTGGCTACCACTTTAGTTCCCTCCCAGGCGGACTCTCTAATGTTTCGCGGTTAGGCCCGATCCAAAAGATCCCATACTTTGGGATAGTGGTGAACTTACAGCAAGAGGAAGTGAGAAGACAAAGCTGACCACCGTAGCAACTATAAAAAGCAGCCAGATATTTCTGATGGCTGAAGTGATACTGGTGACAACAACCGACTTCTCGATCTCGGACAACGATTGGTAGGCGTGACTGCTCGTACCGGCAATCAATTCCGAAACTTGATCCTTGGGCAAGTCTGGGAGGGCTTTCCCAACTCCCGTGATGGCGGTGTTCTGGAAGATAGTGCCGCACAGGGATAGAAAAAGGACCATTCCAAGATTTTGTGCTGCGCGCTTTCAGTTGCAGGTTCATAACATACGCGTCGATGGTTTTCTTACCAATCGTCATGACCGCTACCGCGTTGGAGATTTCATGGCTCGGGACGAGTGACTGCAGGATAGTAAAGCCAATTACCACGTAACAGCCCGCACCGAACCCGACCATGATACTGTATCCATAGATGTTGGCATTATCTGTGTGCTCGTCGATGGTGTCTGTTATTGCGGTCAGATTTGATTTGGAATGTTTTGTCAAGGTCCGACTTACACATCAGGGAAGTGCCAATCAATACGAACATGCTGCCTCCGATATACCAAGGCGAAAAGTAAGGCGTCTTGGGAAGCAGCAAGCCCGAGACGATGGTGGCGACGATCATGGAGATAACAAGAGGGAGTAGTCGCACCCCAGCGTCAAGTGGTCCATCGCCCTACCGGATGCGTGAGTTCCATGATAGTGGCTTGGAGGGCAAAGAGCACTTACACGTATGAACTGGAAGTACAAAGGAATATAGTAAGTAATTGTCTAGTCCAAGTTAGCTTTCGATCTCCCACGAGCGCCTGTCCTGTTCTTACCAGAATGACTCCTCCTGAGAGAAACACCTGCAGCTGTAAGTTCATCACGACAGGCATCTTAAGGAAACGAGCCGGCCACAACTGGTCCTCCTTGCAGACTCCAGGATGATACCTTAGTAAGAGAGCGGCGATAACGAGAAGAATTCCGGAAAGTGTCCAGAAGGCAATCTCGGCGCCAGAATGCCAACTGTAAAGGGTGCCGCCGAACGATATAGCCATTATCAGAAATGTTGAGCCAGATAAGAAAGTCAACGTCATGGGCCAGTCCATCATTTTGAGCTTGTCGGACAGAGACCTTCCTGGTTGAGGGTCGATGGAAGGAAAGAGGAATAGGTATGCTGGACAGAAGACGGCGCCAACGACGAGGTTGATATAGAATCCCTGACTCTGTTAGTGTGGTCACAGATCATTATCAGTATGGTAGTACTTACCCATCGCCAGGTAGCACTGCTCTCAGCAAATGCACCACCAACCTAAACAACTGTCAGCTTCTACTTCGAAAACAGAAAGGGTTGAAAGAACATACCACAGGTCCAAGAACAGTACCAATACCCCAGACGACCGTACTACCTGCCATGTACGCCCCCCTCTCCTTCATGGTGGTACTCACAGCGACATACGTCAATGTCCCAGCGTACATGCCCGCACCGCCAACCCCAGCAATGACTCTCCCAAGGATCATAGCATTCATATTAGGAGCAGCTCCGCATAAAGCACTTCCCGCTTCGAAGAGGAGTATGTTGGCGAGGTATAGGCTTCGAATGGAGAGGATACCATATGCTTTGCTGAGGGGAAGAACGACCATTGTGCCGAGGGCGAAGCCGGTTCCGACCCAGGGGAGGAGTTCGATTTGGCCGAGGTCTTGGATGATGGCGGGTTGGATGTCGGCAACCTGTCCATTTAGCATCAGTCACTTGATGAATTGAGTAGGAGAAGTGACTTTGACTTACAATGGTATTGTCGAGTGCGAATAGGAATGTTGTTGAGAGCATCGCTGTGTAAGATAGTGCCCACTATGCAAGGTCAGCGACATGAGATTGAACGATCCCCTTCCGCTTACCTTCCATCCATGAAGATCCCGTGGGCTTTGGTCTCTTCCCTGGTTGACAGGATCCCTGACGCATTTCTCTGCATCGACTTGCGCTACTGCGCTATGTCGGGTTGCCTCATGAGTCTGACGCTGTTCCATTGTAGTTGTTGCAAAAAGGGTTGGCAGAAGTTGCAGTTTATATGAATTCGCTAAAGAAGAAAGAGATGGAATTTCAGGTTAAATATAGCAGGGGGTGTACTTCAGAATAAGATACGCTTTTGTTCTTATATTACAATCAGTCGTGGTGCGTGACGCTGTTCTCGGCCGACGGTTGACGCTGATTGGCTGGCGCACTCAACTCGGCCGAGGGCGGGCTGTCATTGGTTGTACCTATCAAGCCTCAATCCTCTCACCTCGAAGAGACCTGGTTCACTTCGGAAAATTCTGTCTTGATAGAAAGATAACTTTGGTCCAAGTGTCTCCGTTTGATTATTGGAGATAGACAACCATTGACCCGGCGAGATTACACGTAAGTCCGAGGCATACAGCAAAATCAGTCTATGTGGTCATGGGCGGAAACTGGCCCCTGACGCGGCGCTTATATCAGGCCGATAATGATATGGCAGACGCGGGGAGTGCATCCTGCATCGGTATGAGGAACAATATAGCTCCGCGGACACGGTCGCAGCAGCAGGCTACAAGTAAGCTACCGATGTCACACCTGGATCCCTGCCATTGTTCCTCGAGCTACGGCATTTAAGATGGCGCAACAATCATCGCACGTTCAAGATAATAGTGACGGAACTGGCGAGGGTGAGTCCTATGGCAAACAGCTCTTCAAGTACACATTCGATGAAGGACGACCAGAACCACGATTCCTCATCTTTCGCGGTCTCCAACTCATGAACATGTTTAACTTGCAAAGCGAGCTGGCAAGGCTAAAACACGGTATAATGACGGCAGAAGCCGCAACATCGGAGAAAACCAAATCTCTCACCAAGGTATTGCACGAGTATCGTATGTCACGATTAGAATACATCCTAAAGAGATGTGTAGTAACTAAATCAAAACAGCAAACGCAATTCGGGACTAAAAATACCTGATACGTCTAACTCCGATCACGGGCTCCCAAGCCAGACGTGCCCGCCTCGATCTTGAACGTTCTTTTGGCGATGGGTCCTATCATATCACTGACGAAGGCCTTGGGTATTGCCATCTGCCCGATCTTTCACTCCTCCCCACTGACGAACAGCAATATAATATCAACGCCACCTCCAAAAACACCGCGTCATTCCTTCAGCAGCTTACTCTCTACCTTGATGCCTTAGGTATAGTTTATGTTACTAATAGACAAGAGTCGTCATATCCTGTTCCCAACATTATGATCTGATGTTGTGCTTGCAGCGACAAAAGTCATGCAATAGGGTAGGCAGAGTCAAAGGTGGAGCAACGCACGGAGGCCTAGACTAGGATAGGTCCCTGCAGGGCAAGAATTGGCTAGTCCGGTCCAGCTTAACCGATCATGGGATCATCGATTTTACCGGGAAAATAGGGTGCATAAATTTCTCTATATTAAATGCTATCAATCTTAATACTAGAACAATTGCAGCAAATCGAAGCTCTCATAGTGGATCTATTGAAGCGGGTCTTGGATAACAGACGGTGTTTTTCATCTCCGGATCTTGAAACAGCCTCTCATAAACGGAATTGGCCCGCTTTAGCCGAGTCCGTTGCAATGCCGGAGCGTCAATGCCCGTGTCATCCATTTGTAGCCAGAAACTCCTCAAAATGGTACACTACCCAACTTGCGTCTCCGCATCATGCCACATGGCACTAATGCCGGCCAACTTCTCGGCTGTTATCAGGTAGAAGGTTGGAAATAACCGTCGAGAAACTGGGGTGCAGCTGATGTTTGATGAGCCAAGGACCATAACCGACAGGGGTATGCGACTTTAGCCTGAAAGGATGGTTCCGTTTCAGAAGATCTTCCGATGACTTTGGTTACATCTAGATTGGGTCTATGCCAGGATTTAATATTGAGGTCAAGATATATAAGGTCACCTTGGCACCAAACATTTTCTTCTTGGCAATCCATCCACTCTTTGTTTCTCTAGACACTTCGCCTGTATATATCTTTGCCAAAATGAAGTCCTTCATCGCCACCGCTCTCAGCGCCCTCCTGGTCGTCGGCAACGTCGCCGCCACCGCCATCGAGGACCCCATCGAGATCTTCAACCGCCAGGCCGCTGGTCAAGTCATCCGCCAATGCTCCAAGCCCGGTGTTCTCGCTCTCGCTTACGATGATGGCCCAGGCCAGTACACCAACCAACTCATTGACACCCTCGACCGAGCCGGCGCCAAGGGCACATTCTTCTGGACCGGCAAGCTCTACGGCTGTGTTTACAACAACGCCGCTGCCGTCAAGAAGGCTTACCAAAACGGCCACCAAGTCGCCAGTCACACCTGGACCCACCCCCAGAACTTCGGTAGCTTGAGCACCGACCAGCTCAAGCAGGAGATGCAGAAGTTCGAGCAGGCCATGGTTAACATCATTGGCAAGAAGCCCGCTTACATGCGTCCTCCTTACCTCGCTACTGGCGGCAACGTTCTTCCTACCATGGCCCAGCTCGGGTACAAGGTCATCACCAACGACGTTGACTCTGGTGACTGGAACGGCCAGTCTGCTCAGCAGAGCCAGCAGAAGTTCCAGCAGGCTGGTGCTGGTGGCAATGGCCACATCCCTCTCATGCACGAGACCTATGCCAGCACTGTTAACACTCTTACTCCCTGGTTGCTCAACTGGGCCAAGCAGAACAACCTCAAGATCGTCACTGTTGGTAAGTAAAAGCAGGGTCCTAGAATTGAAGTTCTGTACTAATCCGTTTATAGCTGAGTGTCTTGGTAATGCTGCTGGTGCCTACCAGCCTGGTAACTTCCAGGGTAACGGCCAGAACTTCTGTTAAACTTGAAACTATATCGCATTTTGGTCGATGAATTATGGATGAAGATGGAAGAGATATTCGTGTAAATAAATTTCCAATCCTATGCTAGCTGAGTAGTACATATATCAGAAATACGAAGTAGCGTCTATGTCGGACCGTGCATAGCGCGACCAATCTTGAAAGTGTTTGACGAAGATCTGGCAAGATTTACCATCTAAGGACCCGAGTACATATGACTCTGCTGTCATCACAGAATGTACCATGCTTTGGTGTCTTCATATTGTATCTTGGCGACTGGAATAGGAAGAATTTATAGAGGGTCTTGTTTCCTTCTGACAAACCCATTCGAGGCCAAGCAAGTCACAAAGCTCTGCAAGATCCTTGCGAGAGATTTCTTCATTGCTAATTACACCCCCTAGGTCCGGAAACAAATCGTCCTCGCTTGCAAGAGCCTCACATAAGTCCCGTTCCCAGCGGTCCTGTGTATGAGAACTTGAACTAACGGCGAGAACGACGAGATTGCGCGGTAGAATCTTGGCGATGGACTGGGAGCAAAGGGGAGATTGGCTGACAGGAAGCATTCCGTAGATTCCATGTGTTTGTAGGAAGAGGTATTTCAGGTTGTCAAACTTCGTCAAGCTGGGTATCGGTGTAATGCGTCTGGAGTCGAGGTGCAAAATCTCAAGACTATCGTGGAGTCTGGGTATATCGATAGCTTCGAAAAGGGTTTCCGTTGCATTGGCGCAGGAAATTATGGTTAACCCACCGCTACACGCCTTTATGCATTTGCTGTAGTCAACTCTCGGGTGCCTTTCTGTATGTCGCAGATGCAGATATTTGACGGTGGGCATGTCGGTAAAGTCGTGCCACCCATCAGTAATCCATGTTTCAAGCTTCGTGCAACGGCGAAGCAAGTTCTTGGGTAAGGCATGAGTCTCGATCGTCTGAATAGGGAGGCACTCAATGCCAAAGCTATCAAGAATGCCTGGCAGAATGTCCCAAGACGCCGGCCGACTTCGGCAGGAAGAGTTTTTCGAAACCGCGAGATGGGCCAGGTTGGGAAGGATAGCCACAAGTACAGAGAACAGTTCTGGGCAAAAGTCCTCAGGTCGACGACCATCAGCTAGCCACGGATCTACAGGACTCCTGAAGAATGCTTGCTTCGCAGATGAGGTCGAACCTTTGTGAACCTCACCAAACATCACCTGAGGATCTTTTCCCAAGGCACGAACGCAAGCATGGAAAGCTTTCCGACTTTGCCAAAAGTCTAGACTTTCATATAAAAATCTTGAGAGAAAGACTGCTTTAACACAGCGCGCCAGATCCGGACGCGCAGCAACGGTCTGAAGGAAAGGTTCAAGGCGGAACAACCAGCGATTCCTCCTGTGAGATGATGTCCCTCGCGGGGGATCGTCATAGTGAAACGAGTGGAAAAGTATTTCTTGGGCAACATTTCGAAATGATCGGGAAACGCGACAGAGTCTCATCAGCGCTTTGGTGTCGTGAGCTTGTTTCGAACCGGGCGGAGGTCCGAAGGGCCATTTGTACTCGTTGCAGCAGTGGGAACAAAACCACTGGAAGATGCAGGCCAGAATCTCTGGTGGGACTTTGGCTATCACGGCAGTGGTAGACTTGCCACTGCGCGTTACGACCATTTTGGTGGCGATGAGTGATGATGATTGTGATGGAAAAAGAGAAGTTGGCAAATCCAAGACTGGCAGGCAAGCAAGGTTTTTATCTCCTTTGGAAAGCTTATATCAGAGCGACCATCGTGACGACCTCTTACTTCAGGTGAGACCCGTAGTATGTGTGAAGCTCTGGCGCAAGCATTAGAGCTATGATGCTTAAAAAATGCATGTCTGCTATGAAAAAGCTTAACAACATGCATTTAAAAGCTTAACCCTACCATTGATTCATTGGGCTATAACGTACAGAACCTTTCGCTTGAAAAGCCACACACTTTTAGAGGCATGAGAACCAGACACACTACCATTGGTGCCTAGATAAACCGTTCGTAAGAATAGAACTTGACAAATGAACTGTAAAATACCAGGCAGCAATGCCGTGAGACCAGTGGATGAGGCGCCACAATTGATGGGTACAATTTAGATATAGTCTTTCTAATCCCCCCACTGTCTCCAGCGCCAAAGGCCTGATTGTTACACCCTTGGCTGCAGTCTCTCCGATACAGAGTCGCTGCAGAATGTGAAGCTCGAACAGTGATCCTCTGTATGTTGACACCGAATGATATATCGCCCTTGCGAACTAGCCCTCTATCCACATTCAGTATGCCACCCTTCTAGAGATCAAGGACTTGGTGTATGGCTGCACGCTTTTCTGCGCGGCACACCAACTTGATACCAGCATCTTCGAAGAGTTTTACAAGAGTCATGTCCCATATTTCCACATTAGTCGTTACGGACTCAAGGCTAGGCTGCCATATGTGCTTCCACTTGATAATCCGATACAAATCCGCCTCCATACGATAGTGCGCGTCGGCTTCCGTAAGAAGGTAAAGATTAACAAGATTGGGAGGCAGCATGCCGATTATTGTCTCTTCATAATAGTCCGGGTCCGTCGGTGAAAACCAGGGAAAGGGGGACTCCCGCCGTTGTAGATGAGATTCGTGGGTAGGAGAAGATCTTTCAGCTTCGTAAACATTCGCAGACTTCGGAACGGGATCTTTTCCCGACCATGGCCCCTGTCAAGGTGCAGTATCCCGAGAGTGTCGTAGAGACTTGGCCTATGCAGGACGTCAAGCAACTCAGCACAGATCGAGTCGGCAGTGTAAAGCGTGGTTAGGCTACTGCTACAGGCAGCTATACAACTGTTCAGAGGGCCTTCAGAGAATTGATTCGTATGTCGCAGATGAAGATACCTGACGTTTGGTAGTTTTGGATACTTGCCTATCTCACGAGGAACAACCGGTCAAGCTTAGTGCATCGACTGAGTAGATGATATAGTGGGCGCTCCATCTCCACCGTCTTGACCGGGATGGTCGTCACACCTAGAGCATCGAGAGTGATTGGTGAGACATTGTATCGCCACCCCCCTCAGGTATTACCCTTCGACTGCAAGGTGTTCGAGTTTAGGAACGAACGCCACAAGTGCGGATAGGAGCTCGCCCGCGATTTCAGAAGCTAATGTAGACACATCTGGAAGAACACTAATCGGCGTGCCTAGAAAGAACGCCTCTCTGATTTCCGAAGGAGCTGAATTATGGTGCCCCTTGTAGTAGATCTCACGAGGGCTGGTTCGTAAGGCACGCGCGCATTCATCAAACGCTCTTTGGCTTTCATAGAAGTGAAGTCCGTAAATCACAAGATCCCGGATGATGACTGTCTGGATAGACCCTGCCAGATCAGGGCGTGAAGCAATAGTTCGAAGGAAGGGTTCGAGTCGAAGCTTCCAGGGATTCTTGGAACTTTTGAGTATTCTCTTGCGGGGAGGCGAATAATCCGGATGGAAGGAATGGTAAAGAGTTTGTTCGGCCACATCTCGCCATAATTTTGAGATGAGGCAGAGGTTGTAGAGAGTTCCGCTGTCTTGGGCCTTTTCTGCGCCGGTTAAGGGACCGTAGGGAAGTTGGTACTCGTTGTTGCAATGGGAGCAGAAGTACCGACAAATCATGTAAATAATATCATCGGGGAACACTGCCGAGAAGGGCTAAGAAGGTCTTCGCCGCCCCCCTCGGCCTACGTTTCTTGACTTGGGTGCCATTGCGGCCGATTGGTGGGAGTGTGAACTCCATGGCGCTGTTGATAGTGAGGGCGACTGTTCTGGAAGATCGGTCGTTCGTGTGCGATGTATTTTGTAGAGGTTCGCTTTGAAGCTGGTTGGTTTGGGGCGGTTCGTTCGAACCGGGTCGATCTCTGGTCTTCTATATTAGTAGAAAGAAGGAAAGCTGAACGGAAGGGAGTAAGAGGAAGATTTAATACTTTGTGAAAACCTTATCCGGGGCGGGGTAAAAGAAGAGAAAAGTTTTGTGTCCACATAAGAATTATGACTGTATAACTGAGTTGGGGAAAACAGTATTCGTCTTTATCCCGAGTGATACTGGAGGAGAGATACTTTGGGTAAGAAGGAGTGGTGGAGAAGCAAGATATTCGAGTGTCGTGGAAAGCATATACGGGGGAAATGGGTCATCCATTGTTTTGGAAAGGCGAAAATGAGGCGTCAGTATCATACTGGCAATGTTCAAAATGCCCTTGTCTTTGCAGAGAAACCTCATCATGGGTATCGTTATTAGCTGATCCCCTGGCCATCAGGATCAATCTTCCGTGATCGCTTACAAATTCCAAGCATATTGAATACATGCTGATATACAAGCTGATTCTAGCCTTTCTCTTCCCCCTTGTAAAAAGGTTTGCACTATCTAGGTTCTGGAAGACGTGACCAATAGCGAAATCGGGAGGATTGATAACAACTTAATTACACTTATGACTCAGTTGGACCAGTCATCGTCGGCACGTCTTGTGCTGTCTTCAGGTGTACTACTCTAACAGACGAGTCCTCCATCAAGCACCTTGTGGACCGCTTATTCCGCCATTTGTGTCTCGGAAAGATACGTGTGGTAGCAAAATGAGGAAAGACGTGAATGTGTCTACGAAACTTTCTTTATATACCAGCATGTGCCGTCGTCGCTTGACGAGTCCATCTCGGAATTCCAATATAGCAGTGGGACTTCGGCGCCAACGCTTCCTAAGACGTTCTGGTACATGCAACTTGGACGCGCTCTAGTCACAGCTCGCCTAGAAATTTCGTGTATGCGTTTATGGCAAATTAAATCCTTAGGTCTTCCATGAGTCCTTCAGATTATATTCTATCTGGACAAATGGGTCACTTCTAGCGATGGATATCAGCATAGACCTGGGGCCGTGTGAGCGTCTTTAGGCGCGTCTCGCGCTAAGAGATCCAATTGTATAACACCTCCCTAGGCTTAACTACATTTACTGAGACTAGGTTATAGTCTATCAAGGTATATCCGAGGTGGCACGCTTGGGCAGGTTAAATGATACCGAGGTACAGCTTCGCCACAAGGCAATGTTATTATTTCGGACCCGTCGGGCCAATGTAGGGAGGAGATGCGTCAATCTTGTGAGCCTCGGGGGTGATGAGACTCATGCTAAGTATATAGGACACAGAAAATCACGGGAACCTCGACATATAGCAATAGTCAATGATTAAGAGCAGAACAAGTTACTATTTTGAGTTTTTCCAAGGTATAAGTCCCCAATCTACATATTAAATCAACACAAGAATAATTACAAGTTATAAACCTAAATACTAATAAAGATCTAGTCTTAAGGTATATTTTATAACTTATAAAGTTAGTATTATAATAAGTACTATAAAAGATCTTCTTTTTTTAATAGGTTAATTATTAAATACTTCCTTATTAATATTAATATTAATAA